AGGTCTTACATAGTGAACATAGTCTGTACTCCAGTGGGTCCACTGGGGCTGCTAACCTCTTGAAGGGGGCATAACTTAGGGGGATGGTATCCAGAGAGTGGCCCTGGGTGGAAAGAGCAAGCCTCCAGGGCTGGGACACTTGTGTGTAAAGGGGTAGAAGGAACAGTGGGGTTTGACCCAAGCTCTGCCCTTGGTTCCTGTAGGGCTTGAGCTCTGGGTAAACCTGATAAGGGGTCTCCCAAACCAACTGGAGGGAGCTACCTGACAACGGCCACTATCATCGCTGGATCCATGTCACAAGCCTGACAAAGGCCAGGGTTGTTTCTTACAGCCATGAAGGCCTGTACATAGTGGATTTCTGTTCATTTTCCCTGTTGGCAGCTAAACAAATCTAGCTGATGGATTGTATTAAAATTTATGCTTCTGTTTTCTGGCCAAAATTACTGGTCCTGGAGGTTTTATTCAACCCAGGCTGTGTTACAGAAAAATATTAGCCTTTTCCTTTTTAGGTTTGGGGGTCAAATTTTTCTCACTTCTTGAGGATGCAACCCAGGGGCACGTCCCATGGTATGGAGATGTGATTATCCATCTGTGAAGAGAAAACAGAAGAAAAAAAAAAAAAAAAAAAAGGAAAAAGAAGGTATCTTCTCTTATTTCCCTATTATTCTGTCCTGAAGAGGTCATCCCCCATTCATCCTCGGGGCTCCAGGATGAACCAGTCTTACCTGGTACCCTTAACCTTGCTCCCATCTCATCATGATTATCCACTTGAGAAGAGAGGAGATATCAGAGTGAATACGGGGCCCCTTATTCATCCTTGGAGTTCCAGAATGAACAGGTCTTACTGGGTACCCCAATCTTGCCTTCCTCTCTGTTCTATGGTAATCTGTTCTGTGCCTGCAGCCTGAGACCAGCCTTCATCTCTGTCCTGTGGGTACTTTTGTCTCTTGAGCCTATGGCCTTGGGCCAGCCTATATCCTTGTATCTATGACCTTATAATGAGTCTCTCAGAGCATTCTAGCAACAAAGTGATTATCTCTTTTCTTGTAATCTCATTTTCCATTTTTCTTAAAGCAGATGTGCCTGTACCAGTTCAGTCAACTGCCACAATGGGATGGACTTCTTTCCCTTAAATATGACCCTGAAGGTCTGGATGCATATTGGGAAGGGCATAGAAGTGATTAGAGAAATGGAGGAAAATTTGTATGTGACATTCCTCGTCCTCCTCCCTAACCATCACTTGATGGTTGCCTGACATTCTTTGGCAGTGGTGAGTCTCCTGCCCTGCTCATGTCTGCCTAGCTATCTGTACAAACAGACTGACAGCTTCAGGGTGAAGCTGGTCACCACAGACAGAGGCATGATTAGAGGGTTGGGACTTAGCTCCACCACCAACCTCCTGAGAGGGGAGAGAAGCTGAAGGTTAAGTTGATCACCAACAGCCAGTGACTTAATCAATCATTCATATACCATGAAGCCTTCATAAAAACCCAAGTGGCTTGGGTTCATAGAGTTTCCATACCACGTGGAGGTTCCTGGGGGGTGGCATGCCCAGGGAGAACATGGAAGCTGGTACCCCTCCCCCCATACCTCGCTCTATGTATCATCTCTTCATCTGTATCCTTTGTAATATCCTTATCATAAACCAGTAAATGTGTTTCCCTGACTTCTGTGAGGCACTTCAGTAAACCAATCAAACCCAAAGAGGAGGTCGTGGGAACCCCAACTCAAAGCCAGTCAGTCAGAAGTTCTGGAGGCCCAGACTTGTGACTGGTGTCTAAGGACAGAAGCATGAGTCTCGGGTTCTGGGTCCCAAAATGGCAGGATCTGTACACCATCTTCAGGCAGACAGTGTCAGAATTGAATTGGAGGACACCCAGTTGGTATCTGTTGCAGAAGTGATTGCTTGCTTCCTGGTGGAAAGAAATCCTCAGGAAATACAGAAATCTTTTGTGTTGACGGTTGTGGTGTAAGAACAGAGGAAAACTGGTGTGAGAGTTTTTCCCAAACAGTGACTAAATGTATAGAGAAAATGGGACACCACTGGGAATGAAGAGAGGAGCCATGAATATTCATGCTGGGATAATAGGACTCTCTTGGGTGAACCAGGAAGAACAGTCCCCTTATTCGTGGAAATGCTATTTTCTATTATTATTATCACTCAAAATGGAAAAAATCTGAATCTGTAATATCAAGGGCTTATTTTAAAATTTCAAAGTTTTCAGTTGATGAAGGGTCGAGAAGAAAAGTCAATAGTAGAGTTATGAAGAACAAATTCTGGAAAATATACATGTCAGAATTCAAACCAAATTCCGGAACCCTGTGGTCCACATCCTTCTGCATTGTCTGTGAGTCATTACTGAAAAGCTGTGTTCTGTAGGGGAAGATTAGCTCAACCAGCTTAGAGATGTTGATTCTGTAATCAGCTTCTGATTCCTTCTGTGGGTCTTACACTCAAATTTTCCAGCGGAGAGACTGACTAACCAGTGACTATCAACAGGAGGCTGACTCTTTTGAGCTGAGCTGCCACCCCAGGCCATTGGCATGTCTGGCATCCACTTCTGGCCTGACCAGCGTGGTCCACAATGGTAGGGTCCTTGGTAGAGCACATGGCTGCCCCACATAAGGAGCTGCCATCACAGTGGTTACAGGCCTAAACTTCAATCAGACAGACTTGGGCTCAAAATTTGTCTCTACCGTTACAAGGTATTGACTTTAGGCAAATTAGCTAACTTCTTCTCTAAGGCTGTTTGCTTATCTGCTTAATCGGGCTAATTATGTATCATGAGACTGATATAAGAATAAAATAAACCATGTGTGGAATACACATATACAGGTATTTGTATGTACCGGGCACATACAAAGCCCTTAACAATTACTCCAAGAGCCTCTTCCCTCAGCAGGGCTGTGGACATGGTCAGCTTCCAGTGAGGAATAGTCTCTTCTGCTGCTGCTTGCTAAGCTTGTAAGGAGAAAGGCATGAGGTTTTGGTGATTTTGAATCTTATCTCTTAATGTGTATTCACATCAGAACACAAGAATATGTTATATTTGTATGTTTGTTTGAAAGATTATAGTTTGAAATTCTCAGCTCTATGAAGGAAATCCAAGTTAAACTACCTAAGCAATAGTGATTTTGTTCCTTCCCTGTATCTGACTGTGCTGGGTGACAGAAGACCCCTCAGGAACCCCCACTCTACCCCAGCCTCCACCACTCTCCACCACTTGTTAGGTAGGTGGACTAGGACAGTCATTTAATCTCTCTGAGCCTCATCTCCTATCTTCAGAGTAGGACAATAAATACTAATTATGTCACAGAGTAGCTGCAAGTTTTTTTTTTTTTTTTGAGACGGAGTTTCGCTCTTGTTACCCAGGCTGGAGTGCAACGGCGCGATCTCGGCTCACCGCAACCTCCGCCTCCCGGGTTCAGGCAATTCTCCTGCCTCAGCCTCCTGAGTAGCTGGGATTACAGGCACGCGCCACCATGCCCAGCTGATTTTTTGTATTTTTAGTAGAGACGGGGTTTCGCCATGTTGACCAGGATGGTCTCGATCTCTTGACCTCGTGATCCACCCGCCTCGGCCTCCCAAAGTGCTGGGATTACAGGCGTGAGCCACCGCGCCCGGCCAAGTTTTAAATATAATGCTGTGTGGGTTTTTGTTATTGTTGTTTTTATTTATTTATTTATTTTGGCTAGGGACTGGCATGTAGGTCCTCAATAAATATTAGGTTTATCTTCTTCTTTTCAAATTCCTTTTGGGTCTAAGTTTCTGTGGTATTTATGATGTCTATCTACCTATCATCTATCTACCTATCTATCTATCTATCTATCTATCTTGGTTTTCATCCATGGTTCCTGGCTCATAACTCCCACAGCCCTTGTTACAGTCTTTTGTTATGTTGGGTGTGCTAGGCTTCAGGAAGCCAAATCTCTCTGGCCTTCTGTGCTAAACCTGCTCTAAGGCAGGACTCTAATCTTCCCCCACCTTTCTGATTGTAGGACTTAAGACCCTCCCAAGAGAGGGTCCTGCCCTATGCCCTGGGGGAAGCAATGCTGACATCACAAAGCTTCCGTAAAAGCCCAAGAGGACTGGATTCAGGGGGCTTCGGGATAGCTGAACACGTGGAGGTTACTGAAGAGTGGTGTACCCAGGGAGGGCACGGGAGCCCCATGCCCCTTCCCCCACACCTCATCCTATGTGTCTCTCTATCTCCATCCATCTCAGTATCCTTTATAATAGACCAGTAAATGTGTTTCTCTGAGTTCTATGAACCACTTCAGCAAATTAGCTGAACCGAAAGAGGGTTTTGTGGGAACCCCACCTGAAGGCAGTCATTGAGAAGTTCTGGAGGCCCAGGCTTACAATTGGTGTTTAAAGGTGAGGAGGCAGTCTTGGGGACTGAGCCCTCAACCTGTGGGATCTGATACTTCAGGTAGATAGTGTTGGAATTGAATTGGAGGACACCCAGGTACAGTCCGCTGCTCAGTGGGTGGGGAAAACCCCACACACATCTGGTCACCAAAGTATTCCCCTGTGTTGATGATTGTTGTTGTGTGAGAGTAGAGGAAAAACATGGTTTGAGGGAGTTTTTTCCTATACAGTTTCAAACAAGGATATTGGACCACATGACCAACACTAAAATCTCTCCTATCCCTACATTTGGAGTGCTCCTTAGCCACCCAAGAACAGCGTTGCTGTCAAGACGCCAGACATTTGATTTGTGGCCCTCCGGAATTGCAAGGGTTAACCTGGGGCCAGCTAGGGTCGGGGGTGGGACTGGCAGTTAAGGGACTGGGCTGTGGGAGTAGTTATCCCCTGCCCTGCGGAGTCACATGGGAGTTGTAGGCCTCAGCCCCGAGGAGCACGCCGGGAGTTGTAGTCCTCCCCCGCCCCTGCCAGCCGCCCGGTGTGCGCGTCATGGCCGCCGGCACCGCGGTCCCGTCCTCTTCCGCTTGGCCCCAGAAAGTTTCGGTTCTGCCCGGCAGTGGACCCAAGAGCGCGTAAGTGCCGCAGGAGACCAGCTGGACTCTGGGGGAACCTAGGTCGCTCACGACCCCGGAGCCGAGAGCTTCGCTCAGGGCGCGGCTTGTCACCTGCTGTCCTTACCGTCCCCGCCCATCCCAGATCTCCCTCAGACCCTGCCCGAGCCCCCCTGTCCTTGCCCAGCGGGCCGGGAAGCACCTCCGGCCGGTGGAAGCTGGTCCTGGCACCCAGCCTGCCTCTGTTGGTCGGTTAAAAAGGAAGACCCCAAACACCAGTTCCAAGACCCCGGACGGCCGAGGGGCCGCAAAGGAAAGGAGCCCACCTTGCGGCGTCTCAGAACAAGCCTGGGTCCCTTAGCACAGGATGGGGCAGGCCCCCGAGTTCCTGCCTGCGTGGTCTTTAGGAAGCTTAGTTTCTGGCCCAGCTCGACCGGGACAGCCCAGACCTTCACTTTGCAAGAGTCTGCTGGTGCTCGGAACTCTCTCCTCATCCCAGGAGGGGACTCCTCGTTCTTCCCGGCCCATCCTTTGGCCAACGTCCATTCACTACCCACTGCCCCTTGTGCCCATGTGCGAGGTCTCGAGATAGCCCCCAGGTCCCTTTTTCTGAAACACCTGTTGTCTCTGGTGTGGCGGCACTGCATTGGACTGGAGTCCGTGCTGTTGAAACCTGAGAAACCTGCAGTGGAGGCGGGGGCGGGACGGCGGGGGTCGGGAAGGCGGGGAGGGTGGTGTAATTTTATGTTTTGTAGGAAAAGCACATGAGGTTGACACCTTAACCGCGTGGCGCTCTGTTAATGCACATGTATCCTCTGATGTCCCTGTCACTCTTCACCGTTCCCGTTGGGTGTCCCTCTAGAAAAAAACAAAAAATGTTGAAACTGCCTGTGTTGGCCACAGCCTCGCAGCCCCTCTGCTGTCTTACCACAGCAGTTTCCTTTCCCGACAGAGAAATGGGTCAGGGGCTTTTAGGGGGCAGACGATCCAGGGCTTAATCTGCTCACTGGTCCTCCTACCCCTGCAGGCCTTGTGGTCTCTGGCAGCAAGCTTAATTCTCCTGCCATCTGCCTAATGCGGCTAGAGGCTGTTGGGGGCTGGTGTGGGGGAGGGTTGGGGAGCTGGCGCTATCACGCCAAGGTTTTCTGTTTTCAGTACTTCCCACCTCCTGAAGCAGACCTCTGTTGAGTGGGCTCCACTTGACCCTCCCTTCTGTAACAACCACTGTTCTGAGAGCATTGAATGCCCCATACTAGTTGTGCACCATGGTTATTATAACGCTGGCAATAGCTAATTGTCATAGTGATGGATCTCAGCCTCCTTTGGTTAGTAGGATCTTTCCTAAAGGCCCTTGCTTTAGGAAATAGTTTATCTGTTTATGTTTGAAGTGTCTATGTGTAGCACTTCATTTATTTTTAAAATTGTTTTTAACATTTTATTAGAAAAATAAACATATAAAATCACTGAAAGAATTGTATAGTGAATGTCCATATAATTGATTCTTAATATTTTTCATTGTGGGTTTTTTTTTTGTTTTTTTTTTTGTAGTTGCTTTAGAGACTGGTAACAGTCTCAGGCAGTGTTTGGATGACTTTTGCCCCTTGCGGCTGGGTTTGGAGCACCAGTATGGTTTCAGGAACCAAGTTTTTAACCTGATCCTTTTTGAGGGGGTTGGCTCCCACAGATGTTTGTGATAAGAGGAACCACCCATAACAGAGCAAAATCGGAGCAGCTGGTAGCTTTGAACCATATTGGTCGCCAAGGCTGTGGGCTGCTGGCTCAAGAATAGGAGGAGGTACACAAGAAATGGCAGCTCAGGCCCTCACCCACCCTGCTTCCCTTTAGGGGAGAAGTTTAGCTGATGGGTAACTTTTGTTTACTGACGATTCCGAAGGCACAGCTTTGATGACTCAAGACCAGAATGTCTTTAAACATTAAGCAAGGAGTTATGTTGTCTAGCTGTGGTCTCATGGTGGAAGCCACTTGTAGACATCCAGAGTTAGGAGCCACATTCACTTCAAGCAGCCCTAGGCAGCAGGTAGGGGGTCATTAACTGGTGCCTGTGATTACAGAGGCAACTTGTGAGCACGGATGAGTCCATTATGACCACGGCAACATCTGCTCACGTCATGACTGCTATGTTCTTGTCTGAGTCAAAAGATTAACAGTATTTTGTTTGTGATCTCAATGCCAGTTTCAAGAAAGTAAGAACTCTTGATTGGTATAAGAGCCTCTATTTGAACAATTAAATAAATCAATAGGGTGGGAATTGGAATGTTTCCGTGGGTCTACCTATGGAAATATTGTTTACCTTCCTGTTTGTTGATACATCACTAAAAATGGCTGAAATATCTATAGTAGCCCCATAATAAGAGCCATTGCCTCAGAGAAGACAGGCCCCATGGCTTTGAGAAGAGGAGGATGGCAGAAGCTGTACTCAGTTGGGCAAGAGCAGTTTCATCCCTTTCCTCTAACATTGGAGCCAGTCAGCCTGTTGGTGTCAGTAACTTCCAGTAGTCCTTCCTGTTCACTTGGGTGTCTGTGGCATTTGAAAGACACCAAGGGCCTGTTTCTCATTAGGCCGGATGCTATTTGGAGGATGTGTACATCAGTGTGGTTCTAACAAAAGACTTAAGGGGAATCTGTGGTTTGGTTATAGTATTGTGGCCCTGTGGCTAGTTCTGAGGCCCAAGGACTGATCTGGCCAACCACCTTAGGATTCTCGAGTACTGTACCTTAGGCCAGTCCCAGGAAACTGAGTTAGGGGAAGTCCTTAGCATACAAAAGAAAAGCTTGGACCAAAACAAGCATTCCAAGAAAACCATTAGCATGCAGGAAGCAAGGCCAAGAGAAGAATCCCTATGTGAAGTCCAGGATAGGGCTGGTCAGCTAAACCGGAAGCGGTGGTTTAAAATGGAGCTAGAAGGAATTTCCTGAAGTTGAACCTGCAGATGCTTTTTCCAGGGCGTCTGTAGACTTGGTCAGGAGCAAGAAGGGGACACTTAGAAGCCTTAGCCAAAGTTAGCGGCCCAGAATGCCTGTTATCCCCCTTTCCCAGCTCCTTTAAGAGTAGTGATTCTTAATTCATTTACATGAAGGAAGATTAGCCCCCAACATTGCATCTGAAAAAAGAAAGATAAGAAGAGGTCAAATGACTTCCCCAGGACAGATAGAGTGCCTAAAAATAGTTGAATAAGCTAAATATACCTTGGGTCTTGCCCAACCGTGGCATGATCTTTGTTGCATTATTTGTTGCATAATACATAATGGAAAGTTCACATAACTAGTCTGATTCCAAAATCTAAATAGGGTCCAAATTGACAAAACTAGGCTACCGCTGATAAGAGAGAAGAAAATGTCTTGCTCATTGCTCCAGTTCCAGCTTCAGAGCCATCCTGGGTCTTCCTTGTCCCTCTCATTTACAGCACGGCCCCACCCCCTGCCCTTCTGCACCCAGGCTGGCACTGCTGTTGTCATGCTCCTCACCAAGAAGTGTGGCAGAACCCAGGCCCACCAGCACCTCCCCTCCCCAGGTTGCCTGGTTGATAGTGTCAGATGCACACTTTCGGGAATGAAGAGAGAAGAGCCTTGGGAGGTGTATTAATGCTAGGGCTGCCATAACAAAATACCACGGACTGAGTGGCTTAAGCAACAGAAATGTACTTTCTCACAGTTCTGGAGCCTGGAAGCTCCAGATCAAGCCATTGGCAGGTTTGGCTTCTCCTGAGGCCTTTCTCGTTGGCCCTCAGACAGCTGCCTTCTTGCTGTGTCCTCACGGGCCTTTCCTCTGTGCCCATGCATCCCTCGTATCTCTTGTGTGTGTCCAGAATCCCCCTTATAAACTCACCAGTCTTTGGATTCAGGCGCACTCTCATAGCCTCATTTAATCTTCATTACCTCTTTAAAGGCCGTATTCAAATGAAGTCACATTCTGAGGTATGGGGGTTAGGGCTTCAACACTGGAATGCGGTGGGGTGGAATGCACAATTCAGCCCCTGGCAGGAGGTTTGGGTTAGTGGGGTTGTTTGTGAGGGTGGAGGGTAGTGGTGCTTTTCATTGTCCAGGATGGGGTGAAGGAGGCTGTGGGTAAGTCTTCCTCGGGAACCAAACTGTGGTTCACACTTCTTCCTGTCCATATGAAACCCAGAGATACTGAAGCCACTGGCCAGAGGAAGGTGTAGGGAGCATGAGCCGGACAGGGCATGACCTTGGTGGAGGGAGCAGAGTATCCAAACCCCAGAGGCAGGGCCTAGCCACTGAAGGGCAGCACAGGGAGGCCCGAATACAGGTAGGAGGTGGGGAAGGAGGAGGGACAAGAGGATGGGCCTATCCCTATCAAGGTCAGGAAGCCCATCCATCAAGGGCCTCACAAGCTGGGTTAAGAGATTTGTACACATGTCTGACAGCAGTCACCTGAGCTCTCAGGACACCAGAGGTCTGTTTATAAATAGAAGTTAGGTAGGCAGTGTGGAGTAGACATACTTCATCCATCCCTGAATTATATTATTCTATTCATTCTTGGAATAATAGCTCACAGCATTTTTACAATAATTACAACATAATGTTCACAATTTGTATATGGTGTTTTAAGTGCATTATTTTAGTGAACATAAATATAATTTATGCTCAACAAAGGAAAATTGAAAAATCAGAGAAATAGAATTTTAAAAAAATGTGCTCATGTTGCTACCATTGAAAGATTAGTAGTATTTACATCTTGGTACATTTCTATGCCTCAAAGTTTAGTTTGATTTGTGGAGCAAGGATCTATGTGTTTTGTTTTGTCTAATTCATTCATTTATTCAGCAGTAATTTATTGAGGGCTTTCCATGTGCCAGAACTGTGCTAGAGGAAACAGCAATGGAGTTTACAGACAAGTGGAAAGAACAGAGATTCAACAAAAAATTACCATTGTGGCAAATGGCCCCGGAAGCCACAGAAGTATAGCATGAGACTCTGCAGTGAGGGCTGAGAATCATGAGTGGAGTACAGCCTGGTACCTTGTATGTTCATTTGTTCTCATCAAAGCACTTACCAGGCCTCAATTGCTCTTTCTTACTTGTTTGTAAGATTATTGGGGTATATGTTATCTATTTCTCCCACTGAGCCTGAGTTCCTTTAAGGCCAGAGCTCCGCCCACTGCCCCTTTTCACACCTGTATCCCCAGCTCTTGGTTCAGGCTTGCCTCTTCAAAGTGCTACCAAAAAATACCTTTTACCTGGCTGGCAGTTTGTTAGCACATAGAAGTTACCTGCTGCTTTCTCAAGGCTGTGTTTTGTGGCTGTGTCATATCCTATCAGAGATTCACTTCTTAGTTCATAACTGGCTGGATTTACCCCTTTGACACGTCAGTCAGGAGAGGTCTCAGAGCATATAATTCTGGAGATCTATAGTTTTTCCCCACATAGGTGGGGCCTGTATTCTTTGGAGCAGGAGTAGGTGCATCAGTTGAGTTCTCAATTATTGATGCAGTTGTTCCAGAGACTGCCCAGATTCTCATGCCTGTCATCGTCACCTCCTGGATATTTTCTCAGCCCCACAGCCTCAAGTATAGACGTGTGGCTCCTCCTGTGATCAGCCGCCCACCTCACTGAAAAAAAAAAAAGACTTGGCTTCCCCCAGATTCAAAAGCAACTCCTCAGAGCCCTCGAGGCCCTGTTCTCTGGGGTACATGGACTAGGATAATGGCTGTTTTGTATGTGTTCTGGGAGAGCAACCAGGGAACCTGCTAGTGTTGGTGGAAGGGAGGGTACGAAGAGAAGGTTCAAGAAGCGATGACAAAGCCTCAAGTTCTCATTCCCTTTAAGAGAGAAGATGACAAGAAGGAGTGTTTGGGAAAGATGACCCAGGCATGCAGTGGCTTAACATTTTAATCATAGGTCCAAGGGGTTGGGTCACCTAATGAGTCTTTGTTCACATGTGCTGAAATACCTGCCTCTGAGCTGGCCTCTGGCAAACTCCAGAGCACTCTCCTAGCCACCCTCTCGAAGCTCTGGGGAGGGCAGGCTGCCTGCCCACTGATTATTCCAGCGCTGGGCCAGCAGGACCTCCGGGCCTTCGAAGCTGCAGGTACCAGCCAAGTGCCTCCCTTTCTGTAGGTGGTAACTAGATATAGATGCCACTGGGTGTGCTCAACCAGGCCTAGGCAATGGACTCTTCCAGAAAGGCTTTTCTGCCTTTTTATCTGTCCTTGTACTTAACATTCTTTCTTGGTCAGGGGAGAATTTACAACTGGTATGCTCCTCCTTATTTGGGACTGGGGGAGGGATACAACTGTAAGGTGCCCTCTCTGGGTTAGCCCTTAGCTATTGTGTTGGGAGCAAAATTTTGAAGGCGGAGAAAGGTTGACTTCCAGGCCTGCAAATGATTCTTCTTTCCTTGTGTGGCTACTCAGATGCTATTATTGTTGCTGTCTGAGCCAGTTTCTGGGCAATATTATGAGTATCAGTCACTTGTACTGTAGTGCAAATAAGTTTATATCAGTCAGTTAGCATCTTTGTGTCTTAATTTGACTATACTGCAGTTGCTATTGTTTAAGGCATTTAGGGCATCTGGGCAGATATTAAAAAAACTTGGAGGCCAGAGAACACCCTTTACCTCTAAAATGATACCTAGGTCCTGACTAAGAACTCATACATTAGTACCAAGTGAAAAATAAGAATTTTTTAAAATGCGGTGAATCCCTTTTCCTCTTTTTTAGAAAATTTGATGTTTTCAGACATTTTGGATAGACTTAAACATAATTTTGAGTTGTTGGCAAGGAAATCCAGTGCTTCCAAAGATTGTATAAAACGCATTTCTCTGCTGTTTAGAAGAGCCTGTCAGAGACAGTGATGAAGGGTTTTACATGTTGTGCAACAAAGACTGTGGGTTTATGAGGTGATTGGCATGCTGCAGGGGACCCTGTGAGGTGCGTGAGTCCCAGAGTCCTTACCCCGGTGCTGAAGCAGCCATGGTAGTGTGTTCAGAGCTTTGAGTGTCTCCAGAGTTAGGAGAGCTATTTGCCAATGGGTTGTAGATGTCAGGATCAGGCTGGTTCAGGCCAGGAGTCTGTTATCCCTCAATGAAAGGGCAAGCTTACCTAGAGACACAAGAAAATTGATCATGTTTGGAGAGAGATCATGCCCATTATTTGCCTTTTGTTGGTTACTAATGACCTCAGACCAAGACGGAGGAGCAAGGGAGGCAAGCTGCTGAGTCCATGAAAATAGCATCCCCATGGTGACTATGTTCTCTATGGAAGCTCTGACTTACTTCCTGAATCCCTGTGAGGTGGTGACCCAGAGTCAGAGTGGGGAAGCCAACCACGCCCCACAGGCCTGGCAGGCAGTTTCTTAGGGCTCATGACCCTGGTAGTGACACAGGCTCTTTGGAAAGTCAGCTTGTGTATTCAGTGGCTGGGAACAGCTCACCCCATGACCTGGGAACTTGACACCAGTGGAGAGCATACTTGGAAGGTCAGACTGACAAGGCCACCTGCTTTGGGCAGACACAGGGGCAGTATCACGAAAGCACCAAGCAGTCTTAAAGGAGCATATTGCTATCTGTGTTCAGGCTTATGATGCCAAGATACTGGTTTGGGTTTGCAGGCATTGTTTCCCTCGTGCCAGACTCCAATTAGGTCTAGTTTCCAGAAATTCCAGCTGGTTGTGTGGTTCCTCCCTTGTTCTGGCCGCAGCCTGGAAGAGCTACTCAGGATCTGTTGTTGCTGTCGCCTCCTTCCCAACCTCCGCCCTCTCTACAGACATGGTCAGAAGTGTACACACAGACCCAGTGGGCTGTATCCGAAGACTCACAGGGCCTCACTCCAGTCATCTTCCTCCAGGATTATTTCTCTCAGAAACTGCAAGCTCCTCTGTGTTGGCGGCAGTCAAATACGAGGAATGCAGCTAGAGAAACAGCCTTTACTCTTGTGTGCCTCCACCCTGGCATCCTTTCCTTCTTGGCTCTTTCCAGTGACCTCCTGTTCATTTTTTAGGCCTGGCCATCACAGAGTGCCCACCACTTCTCCCTTCCTCAGGGAGAATTAAATTTTCCCTTCCTCAGATCCCATTGGATTTTTTTTTACAAATTCATCACAATGCTGCTTTTTTATGAGATATAATTTACAGTTATATGAGTTGTGACAAGTATATGTTTGTCAAATACGTGTAGTCATGTAACCATCACCGTAATCAAGGCAGCAAACAGAATTGCCCCCCAAATTTCCCTGTGCTACTTTGTAGTCAGACCCTCCCTTCTCCCCTAGGCTCTGGCGGCCACTGATGTGATTTCTCTCCTAATGATTTGCCTTTGCCAGAATCGTATGTAAATGGGATTGCGCAGTTGTCATGGTTTGAGAGGCTTCTTTGACTCAGCACAGGGCATTTCAGATTCCTCCATGTTGTTTTGTATACCCATAGTTCATATCTTCTCAGAGCTGAGTACCCATGACTTTTTATCCATATCTCTATGGGGGCCTCTTCCACTGTATCTGGATATGTGATATTTTTCCATCTGTCTCCTTAATGGGTAGCCAGGTTCCTCCATGACTGGAATGTTTCTTGTTGCCTCTGTATCCCTAGCCTGCACGTAGTAGGCACTTGATGGAATGTGCTGGGCAGCTGTGTGTTGATAGTGGAGGTCCTTATCCTCTCTGGCTCTCTCTAGGGTCCCAGCTGGTCCCTGCTCAGGCCCTATGTTCAGCAGGCGACCTGGAGAGACACCCAGGGATAGGCAGGCAGGCTTCTCGTAAAGCACTCCTACCCTCAGTTTGGTGTCCCTGATAGGTGGGTGCCAACATTTGTTGGGAGGTTCAGGGGGTTGTCTGTGGATCCCCTGAAGCTCTTCTTTGTGGCACTCATGAATTCCTGGGACTGCGGTACAGGCATGTGGCTGACTGTTTCCTTCCTCTGAAGCCAGAGAAGCCCTCTTTGGGCCTTGTTTGCACTGAGTCACAGCTATGCTGGCTAGTTAGTTAAAAATAGGCTCTCGTTATCTCCGCCCTGTGATAGGCCCTTCTCTCCTCGGGCAGAGGCAGGAATCCTTATGTAAATATTTGGAGGAGCTTGTGCCTGGGTTGATTTCCATGCCAGGATCTGTTTGCCTGGACTCCTGGAGCTGTGAGGGCAAGGTGGCAGTGGGAGAGTGAGAGGTGGCATATGTTAGAACACTCAGGGTGTTCACATTACTTGGAAGACGGCTGGACTTCATGGTGGTGCCTTGAGCCGGTGGAAGTGGTTGGTCATTTGCTGTAGTGACAATGGCTTAGTCTTAAAAAGTCCGTAGGACTTACTGGAAAAACTGTCAGATTTGAAATCAGATTGACCACAATTCAAACCTGTGATTCCTCGTCTTACTCACCTGTGGCCTTAAAGAAGTTACATGACTCCTCTGAGCATCAGTTTCTCCTTTGTAAACAGGGCTGATGTTATCTACTCCACCAGAGTGACTGTGAGAATTAAAAGCGGTCATATGTGTAAAGCATGTAACAGCCCCGCACACAGTAGACTCTCATTTAGTACTGACTGCTGCCACGGCCATCTCTAGTCTTGCTGTCTACTTCGCCAGCAAACACTACAACTTTGCACTGGATAACTAAGGGAAGAATTAGCGGTTCTGAAAGGACATAGAAATGTCCAGATGTCTTTCCAGACCTCTTTCCGATGTGCTCACATCTCTTTAACTTCTGTTGGCTTTCAGCCCTACAGTTAAATAACTTCAACAGCTGCCCAAGTAGGGCTGATAACTCGGGACTCATTAGCTGGGAGAGGACTGTAACTGAGCTTAAAAATAGAGCTACGTCCTTTGCCTGGTACGGGGGCTGTGCAAGCCTCTGGAGAAAAGGCCAGGCAGCATCTGCGTACCTAGGCTGAGCTGGACTCTGGGGAGCTGGCAGCTGCAAACCTCCCAGGACCCTGCCAGGCAAGCCTGACTTTCCTTGGTCCAGAAGCCCTGAGGGTATGGGTCCTCAGCCTTTCCCCCCAGCACTGCCTGGCTAGAGACTAACCGTTCTTTAGAGAAAGAAAGGCTGGAGAGGATGTGGGTCCGGCTGTCAGGGAGATGGGGATCCTGAGGCTTAGTGGAGCTGTCTGAAGCTGAGCTGCACTTGTTCTGTCTAGGGAATGGAGGAAGCCACTGGGTAGCTTTTTAAAGGAAGGTAAGACAGTCCTGTCTATGGCGAATGGAAAGTGAGCTCAGAAAGAATAGGCTGCAATATAATTGATTTAATTTCTTGTTAAGCCCCAAACAAGGTCACTGTGTCTGAATATAAGTGTGTCAGAAACAAACCCGAGAGTGCCCATGGAGCAAAGGCCCACACAGAAAGGTCAAGCCCTCCTGTTGACGGAATACATCCAGATAGGGCGGCCTTTGTGCTCAGAGCAGAGTTCCTCTAATGTTGTCTTTAAATTGTGTCTGTGTCTGCTTCCTCCATGGCTTGCTCTTCCGCTGTGCAGGTGCCACCATGGAGTCTAACCACTGCTGAGCAGACAGCCACAGGAGGGCCGAAGTTCTGAACCTTCCTCTGGACCCAGGCAGGAGACACACAGCCAAGAAAGGCAAACTCACCATGGCTTCCACCAATGCAGAGAGCCAGCTCCAGAGAATCATCCGAGACTTGCAAGGTATGGTAGGTTGCTAAGCAGACTGAGTTTGGTTTTGAGGGACTTGTGGCTGTGCTTTTTGCTGTTGCCAGTTGAAATTCAACCCTTTCATTTTTGTTCATACCAGGAGTAGTTGGAGTCTTCAGCTCACATCATATTGAAATAGTTGGGGCTCACATATCCACTTTGCGTAAGGCTTGGAAAGCTTGCCTGGTTTCCTTTCAGAGGACTGTACAGCCAGTTTGTAAACAAAATCATACATGCTGCTCCAGGACTGGGTCTGATTTCCATTAGCGCACATATGTGTGTTTTCAAGCTGCCTGTTAAGTCTTTGGCTAAATCCCAAACTTCTGGGCTCTGATGAAGTCGGTTCCTTTGGGAAAGAATGTTGTTTCTCCCACTGAGCAGGAAGAGCAGAGACCCTCCTGTCTTGTTTTGCTGCCCCACCAGGTCCTGGCTGGTGGATGGCCCATTGCCCGGGATGTACTATAGGTCCAGGCTTGCTGCCTCCCAGACTTCCCTGAGCTCAGCATTATCCACTGAGAGAGGCTGTGACTCGTATTCCTCATCTCACTGCAAGGCAGACGAAGGTGCACATAAAGCTTCATAGACTCAGGAGAAACGGACTATTTTGTTTTTGGCTGCAAATTCCAGGTTTCACCGTTTCAGGTGCTGTCCCAGGGGTCAGAATTTTTATGTTTTCCATCCTAACTCATCACCAGTGCTGATCTTTAAGCTCTTCGGAGCTCCAGCACACTTGATACTACACAGTCTGAAGCTGACCACTTCCTCCATGCCTGCAGAGCCTGCTGTGATGCTTTCCTGACATACTAAAGGCCCAGGCTCCTAACTGCTTGGACACCGTGAGCAGGTATCTCCTGTACCAGGAGCCATTGGCCTACCACAGACACAATGCAGTCCTCATTCTGAAGTTCCAAAGTCAACAAGATAAAAAACACTTTCTCAGGCTTTTAATCTTGCATCTGCTCTGCCTTGGGCCTCTGATAGCTAGCAATTACATGGCATTTCGTTTCTTCTGCACATATCTTATAGACAGTAACTCATTGAGTCTTCATGTTTGATCCTGTGAGCTAGACACCATTATGATTCCCATTTTGCAGTTGAGGAAACAGGCATAGAGAAATTAAGTAACTTGCCTAAGGTCACACAGCTAGTCAAGAACAGAGCCTGGGTTTCTATACCACCAGCCCAGCACCAGTCTGTGCTCTTTTTTTTTTTTTTTCTTGAGACAGAGTTTTGCTTTTGTTGCCCAGGCTGGAGTGCGATGGCACCATCTCAACTCACTGCAACATCCGCCTCCTGGGTTCAAGCAATTCTCCTGCCTCAGTCTTCCTAGTAGTGGGGATTACAGGTGCCTGCCACCATGCCCAGCCAATTTTTTGTATTTTTAATAGAGACAGGGTTTCACTATGTTGGCCAGGCTGGTCTTGAACTCCTGCCCTCAGGCGATCCCCCCCTCCCCCCCCGCCAGTCTCCCAAAGTGCTAAGATTACAGGCATGAGCCACTGTGCCTGGCTCCAGTCTATGTTCTTAACCACTCTAGTCTACTTTTAGCTAAGATGTTAGATGCTTTTTAAAACCTACACAGAGAGGCAGAGAAAGTAAAATGCCAGTCTCTGCAAATCCGAGTTTGCCATTGGCCTTAAGAAGTCTCTCCATTTCCATGTTTCAGTATCTGGTTCTTGAGGATAACTTTGAGACCTGGAGGTCCTTATTGGGAGGGAAGAGGATGAAAAGGGGACTCTCAGGTAGAACCTCTGATCTAGATCACTGTCTATCCCATGCACTGGCTGAGTCTGGCCACCTCCAACATCCTGGGCTGGTTTCCATGTTCTTTACGTAGAGCACTTTGGTGGGAATTCTTGAAAGGTGCTGCTTTCTCAATACGCTCCACTTTCATCTGTTGGTAAATGTCTTTTTTGGTTTTTTTGGAGACAAAGTCTTGCTCCATCCCCCAGGCTAGAGTGCAGTGGCATGATCTCGGCTCACTGCAACCTCCGCCTCCTGGGTTCAAGTCATTCTCTTGCCTCAGCCTCCTGAGTAGCTGGTATTACAGGCACCTGCCACTGTGCCTGGCTAATTTTTGTATTTTTTTTTTTGTAGAGATGGGGTTTCACCATCTTGTCAGGGTGGTCTCGAACTCCTGACCTTGTGATCCACCCACCTCAGCATCCCAAAGTCCTGAGATTACAGGCATGAGCCTCTGCACCTGGCCAGTAAATGTCTTAACAAGCATACAAATCTATGGCATCTACCATGAGAGTGGTATGTCCTTAATTCAGGTGCCTTTGTGTGGTACACAGCCTTTACTCCTCTGTGGGGCAGCCCACTCGTCCTCTCGGTGACAGCAGTTTCAAGGACTTTGGAGTCAGGCAGGGGCGTCCTCAGCTTCTGGCTTCTCTTTTAACCTTTAAAAATGTTGGACACAAGAACAGAAAATCAAACACCGCATGTTCTCACTCATAGGTGGGTATTGAACAATGAGAACACATGGACACAGGGAGGGGAGCATCACACACTGGGGTCTGTCAGGGGGAAATAGGGGAGGAACAGTGGGGGGTGGGAAGTTGGGGAGAGATAGTATGGGGAGAAATGCCAGATATAGGTGATGGGGAGGAAGGCAGCAAATCACACTGCCGTGTGTGTACCTATGCAACAGTCTTGCATGTTTTTCACATGTACCCCCAAACCTAAAATGCAATTAAAAAATTTAAAAAAAAAATGTTGGACAAGTCCCTTCACCTTTCCAGTTGCTTCCTTCATGTGCCAGGTGGGTTTGATGTTAACACCCACTTCTGAAGATTATTGAAAGAATCAAATAGTAATTCCTGTAAAGCTAATATTATTTAAAGTATCAGAGATTAGAGCTGAAAATTTCATATTTCGTGTCCAGAGTCTCCTCCTTCAAAGTTTCAGGAGTTCCCAGATGAGGCTGCAAGTGTTTATCTGGACTGAGGAGGAAGGAGGGTGGAGGAGGAAGGCTTTGTGTCTCTCCCAGGCCCCTGGCTCACTGGTCGATAGTGCCAGCCATTGCACACACTTCTAGGAAGGTACACCTGGACAACAGTCACTTGTAAGAATCAGTCCCAAGAACCTGTCTCTGCCATTTGCTAAGCATTGCCTGAGGGGCCAGTGTTGATTACATTTTCAGCCATCTTAGGCTTGGCCTCAGTTCTGGACAGGTCTGCTTCAAACCATCGTTCCTGGGAGCAGGGGTTAGGAATTTAAGAATTGCCAGAGAAGCAGATTGTTTTTTTCAAGCACATCCCAACCATCTCAACTAGGGAAATGTTTCCCAGGGTCTAATAGTCCCAGGGACTATCAAAGCGAGTGTCTTGATAGTCCCTCTGTCTCAGCAGAGGCCGTGAGTGAGAGTCAAAGGTGGGTTTCTCTCTTTTCTGCACAGGGAGGTCCATTCTCTTAGAAGTTAAGAGGTGGGATCTGGAGTTAGAAAGCCCTTGAGAAAACCAGGGTTCTAATTCTAGCTCTACTGTTTGCCACCCTGATCTTTGGCCAAGTGCTCTGATTTCTCTGTGCCCTCCTCATCTGCAAAATGGGGTAATCATAGCAGACTTCATAGATTCTAAATTGTTCTTTTTTTTTCCTCACATTTTAACAGCTCTGAAACCGGGATGTATCTTATAATAAGTTGCATCATAGTTTCATTGAAATAAGAATCCCTGCCTCTCAATGCCATGTTAAATGAAAGAAATACATGTAAAGGCCTAGCCCCTCAAGGACACTCAGTTAGCAAAAGCAGATGTGGTTGTCATTGTTGGAATTGTGATTATTATTACTATTATTTGCACATACTGGGTATTCTGATCCTGCACTTACCTAGACTGAGCAGTAGGGTTATAGTGAAGAGCAAGAAATATGGCTAGAATAAAGGTTAAAGCTTTCTAGAAGTCAGTATTCAAGGACTGAATGATTCATTCACACAGCAGACATTTGTTGACCAACTACTATATGCAAATTACTAGGCCTGGGCGGTAGACAGACAAGGGTGAACAAGAAATGTGCCCAGTCAACAAACATTATAAAGTATCTGTGGGCTCTCAGGACATTTCAACACTCCCTGACTTGTAGTTATATTTCATGGATATGTTTCAGAGGTGCTTTGTATCACTGACCACTTATTTCTCATGCTTCCTGAGTTATTCCTGCTTCTCTTTCTGAGTTTAGTCACTATCTGGTTACATGTTCCTGTTTGTTGTCTTAAAGATGCTGTGACAGAACTAAGCAAAGAATTTCAGGAAGCAGGGGAACCCATCACGGATGATAGCACGAGCTTGCATAAATTTTCTTATAAACTTGAGTATCTTCTGCAAGTAAGTGATGCCTGTAATATGTTAATTTTTGCACTGCTGTCTTCTTTTCTCCCTCTTTGAGTGCCTGATCAGCATTCAAGATATGGTTCAGAAAGCCCAAGGAGCCCGTAAGCCCTTGTGGTTAGATGGAAGGTCAGAGCAGTCTCCACTACGAGCTCAGTCATCCAAGTGTGATTCTCTGGGGAATTGCAATGTTGCCCCTAGGATGGCTTTGAGAATCAAAAACATCCTTTGGAGATTTAGGTCATTGTAAGGTAGGTCAGAAGGTTATTGTATGGCAAGGATCTTAAATTTGGGACAGTTACATACCCCTTTGGGAGTTTAGTGAAAGCTGTGGAGTCTTCCCAAAAAGACATTCATATACATATACACTCAATCATGCATTTTTGCAGGCGGATTCTAAGACTGTGTGGACCCTCTAAAAATTATCTGTGGGCTTCTGTTTTAGAGTTTTGCCACTCAGTGTGCAGTCCATAGACCGGCAGCATCGAGCCCCTCTGGGAGCTTGTTAGTATTACATTCTTGGCTCCCACCCCAATCCTACTGAATCAGGATCTCTGGGGTCATCCTGGGATATTTTCTTTTAACGTATAGATGGTATACCTCTTATCCCTGCTTGGCTCAAAAAGTGCTGATGTGGAGAACACTGCAGTTGTGGAAAAATGCATGCAACTAAAATAGGCAGGAAGAAAACGCTCTAGAAGTTATTTTAGCGTAGTGGTATTAGGTGTTAAAATTCTTTTCTATTTTTTTGTTTGGTGTTATCTAGTTATCCTAATAACATATGCATGTCTTGCTTCTGTAATCAGAAAAAATACTATAAAATATTACAGAAAGATATACCTATATCACCGTGGACACCATTATTTTGCAACATCACATCCCACCAAAGCATGTAGTATGCGGGCCCACTAGAGGAAAGGCCCCTAACGTGCTGAAGGCCTTGCCTCTCTCATGCCATTTCAACTGGTTCTTTAACATTGTAAAAATGTTTTTGAGCCTTTCTTTTTTTTAATTAAGCCCATTCTGGTTTTGGATTTGAAATGACTCAGAGCCGACATTAATTTAAATGTATTGTAGGTGTTTGAAAAAGGTATTGAAACTTACGAGTTGAGTAACTGGGATAAAGTGTCATTATCTTATTTCCTTAAGTCAAAGCATAGTTAACACTCTTCATATTGCCCTTAAGACTCTTCTTGTACTTATTTCTCATCTGTTAATAACAACTTTGGTGGTGTTCCACCCAATTGTATGAACAGGCAGACCTTGATTTGTCAATAAATAAAAATAATGCCAATAAAGGGTCTCACCCAGTGCTGGCGCCTAAGAAGCTATTGTTATTATTTATCATTTGAATGCTGGGATAAAGAGCAGTGGGTTTGGACCTCCTTTCCCTGTCTCTTTCCCTACACAGTTTGATCAGAAAGAGAAGGCCACCCTCCTGGGCAACAAAAAGGACTACTGGGATTACTTCTGTGCCTGCCTGGCCAAGGTGAAAGGAGCCAATGATGGGATCCGATTTGTCAAGTCTATCTCTGAGGTAAGCTGAGTGGAGCAGCCAACAACTTTGTGTCTTCCTTTTGCCTGCTTGAAGCAGCTCTTGCAGAGACCTTTGCCACGGACAGCTAAATGAGGAAGTGGGAGTTTATAAGTGGTAAAGAAATCTAGTCAAGGTATACTCAACGCCCATTGTTGCAGTGGCTCAAGCTTGGGGAAACCACTTCAGTGAGTGTTTACCAAGAGGAAGAATGCTGAGTCCTGAATGTACCTTAGGCCACAACCTACATGTTACCTAACAGGGTGGCCTGTTCACATTGTAAGTCTGCTAATGGCAGCCCTTGAGGTGTGCAGCATAGGATAGCTCCATCTTTTTAAAAAAGCTCATTTTCTTAGATGAAATTTTTAGCGTTTGCTAGGCTGCTCTCCCTACAGTTTGCCCAGGAAACTTAGATTTGAAATGAGAATGATGTGGGATCTCAAGAGACGTTTCTTAAAATAGTGATGAAAGTTTCTTGAAACTTTCTACATTCAATTCTGAGCCCCTCAAGCGCAAAATGCCATGGCTTTGCTGTTTCACAAAACTCCAGAACAACAAATACAAACGCATACTTCACGTACACACTCACACTCTCCTCTCTGCTTATTTTCCACCCTCAACCTCCAGAGAGTCTTTCTTCTCTTTCATCAGCCTTGTCCATCCAAGAGTGAAGAACTTTGCCTATCAGGGAGCGGGTAAACCCCTAGATTTAGGACAGGAAGTTTGTACATTTCATCTTTCTTTTCAGTATCTCTTCAGTAAGTATGAAGTCACTTTAAAGTCAACACACCTGCTGCTTGGCTGGCTGCCCACAAATGCCACAGCCTTAGGTATTCTGGGAAGGGCTCCTGACCAACCACACCAGCTGTAGCTGGATGACTTTCTTCTTATAGAGGGTGACGGTGTTAGATATGCTGATATCAATGGCTGGACATTTCCCACCATCTGCACCCTCTGACATCTGAGAAGATGAGGAAGGATCCTGGCTCTAAAGGGCTGCTTCTGCGAGTTTCTTTATTGTCTATGTTACTGTGGGTGCGCCTTGTGAGGTCTTGCCCGGTGGGATACTTGGGTCCATAAGGTAGAGCAGTATTTTAATTTTAATGCATCATAAATGTGGAAGGGGTTCTCTTTGTCACTGTCCTCTCGTCATTCCTCAGCTGCCACATCAGAGCAACTAAAGCCTTTGGCTTTATGACTTTGGACAGCTGAAGTCTGGAAATAAATTTAGTTTTAATCCCCATTCCCCAGGATTATGAAATGCTTGCTAAAACATATCTACTTTTTGGCTAGTTTCTTCTGCTTTTCTCACAATGCAGACAGATCTTTAGACAGTTTGAAGCCATGGAAACTGACTTTCTAGAAGCAAAAAGCATTCCTTGCTTGCATGAACGTTGGTGTTTTAGTGGCTAGCATGGGCTCTGCTTCCCGTAGGATCCAGTTGTTTGCTCTCTGATGAAGAATGCTCTCCGGGGCATCTTAGGTTGGAATGGCTTGGAAGATCCCTAGGGTAAGTGAGTTGCTAGGTACTTAGTTAATTTTAATAGTCAAGTGGCCGCCTGGGTCTTTAAGTGAGAGGGTAAGAGTTATTGGATAAGCAGCATTCGTAGGCCCCCTCAGACCTCTTTGAGGTAGCAGGAAGCTATTTAGGCTAAAATATGTGAAGGTTCTAAGAAGCCATTTCTGGAGGTTCAGTAGGGGCTCAGCTTGGACTGTGTTTCACTGTGATGAGGGGGTAGTTCGGCGTCAGGCTCGTGGCACCATGGCCTGGTTTAAAGCAGAATCAGCTCTCACGTACCGTGCAGATTTTCTGTCTTTTGCTGCCATTATATTGCTTCTCAGGATAGTGTATATGGGTGCTGATTATAGAAGCTAAAAAAAATTAAGGAATTAGGTAATGAAAGCGGACCCATAATCTGAAAAATAAAAAGGCCATGCAACATTTTATTTTGCAATACAAAGGAACTATTGTTCCCTTCCCCAAAGGATGTTTAAAAATACCTTTAATATAAATAGCTCCCTTTATAATCAATTCAGTGAATGGGCCTTTTAATGATTAAAAGTATAGCCTCAACTGTTAACCATTAAAGAAGTTTTGATGTTCTAAAGGCCAATATAATGGTAAGTTTGCCAAAAATAAGGACAAGCTCCTATCTTTGGGAGCTTACAGACCTGGGCTGTTATGTCAGTGTCTTATGAAATTCTGCAGGGTGTGTTTTTGTACAGTTGACATACTTCATTTCATAATGCCTTGCTCAGCTCTTCCCAACTGCCTCAATTTCCTGGTTATCACCACTAAACACTTTGTTCTTACCTCAGTCATCAGTAGAAAACTGATTTAGACAGGATATACCATCCAGATTCTCCCCCGCACATCTGCCAAGATCGGCTATCTGCAGACGTCATGGTGGTTTTTGTAAAGCCAGCAAGTCAGGCTGCTGCCTTCACTCACTTCCAGGTATCCTGGCTGTACCCAAAACCCACAAAACACACATGTGGAAATGTCTTAAAGCTTCTGTAGTTCAAGGGCTTTAATACCTTTTACTTTTTTCTTTTCTTTTCTTTTTTTTTTTTTTTTTTGAGACAGAGTCTTGCTCTGTTGCTAAACTTGAGTGCAGTGGCACAATCTCAGCATACTGCAACCTCCACCATCCAGGTTCAAGCGATTCCCCTGCCTCAGCCTCCCAAGTAGCTGGGACCACAGGTACCTGCCACCACTCCCAGCTAATTTTTTTTTTTTTTTTGTAGAGACAGGGGTTTCACCAGGTTGGCCAGGTCTTGATCTCTCAACCTCGTGACCCATCCGCCTCGGCCTCCCAAAGTGCTGGGATTGCAGGTGTGAGCCACCATGCCCAGCCAGTACCTTTTTATTTTTAAAAACCACATACTATGGTATCATTTCCTTGAGTCAGCAGTAAGAAGACATATAGCTCTGAGCTAAAAGGTGCTATGTACCAGGATGTTTACCCCATTGTGTTGGGAAATATTTAGCTCTGAACTAAAAGGTGCTATACACCAGGATGTTTACCCCCTTGAGTGTTTCCTGATGCAGTATAGTGTCAGAATTACAATCTGAATAGTGTGAGGTATTGGAACCCTCTTTGGCAAACCACTGCTATCCCTTCCCACACCACATATACATACTTTAAATATTTCTGACTTTTGAAGGGGTGGGGAAGATATTGGTCCCAGCTTACCCTACCCAGAGCCAGACCCTGACAGAGCAGGTGCATGTGGTACGTCAAGAGGTTTTGAATTCCTGCCTGCTTTCTTGAGCTTCTGGGCTGACCTATCAGGAATATGAATCCTAATTTGCAAACTTGTCCACGTGTCTTCTGTGGCTGTCCCCTTTATTCTATCTGTCTTGGCCACTGTATGCTCCCAGCTGGCAGAGCCCTGCTTTGCAGACTCATGGCAGAGTCTTTGACCAACATATCCCATCTCCATCACAACAAGCTTTTGAGTGGTGAATTTAAGCCTCAAAACAGTTCCAGTCACGTCTTCTCTTCCAAATTGGTTTTTAGGTAGAGGCTCTATGGGGAGAGGTTTTGAAGGCAGGCCTGCACCTGGGCCTTCCTATGCCATCCATGCCAAACTTGTGAGACAGACCCATATCCATCTTGTCCTTAGCACAGTGTGATTGAGCTGCCTAGAGACACCCCTGGTCTCACTCTGGGCTCCTTCTGACTCCATGTAGTGATTTGGCATATCTGGAAAAGAACAGGAAATCCAACCAGGAAAGCATTGGCAGACTTGTGGATGTTACTGATGGTTTCACAGAACACAGATGAGGCAGTTACATGGCCAGCAAGACTTTTTACAGGTCCCCTGCACTCACGCACGCACCTTCTGCACATGCATCGGCCAAGCCCTTTAGGCCCTTACCCTGCACCTCTTCCCCCAGTACCTTAAAAACAAAGCAGCATTAGCTGAGCTGAGACCATCTCTTCCTTCTCAAGCTAACTTCTGATGAGAGAAGCCTTTCATTTACCTACCTCTAGGTTTTACTCTAAAATAGAACTGAGTTTTACTTGGTTTTCTGACTCCAAACCCAGAGATTCTGATAGAGCGGAGAGAAAGTGACATTCCAATAGAATCCACAGATGTTTCCAAGCCTCTCGTTATTATATCTTCCTTGATAAGTTTGCTGGAGTCTGCAGATTATTCTTAGATGAAGGCCTGCAAGTAGTTCAAGCCACTTCAAGCCTTTCTCTCGATATAGCATTTGAATGCTGGTATCAAATGTATTGTGTCCTTTGAAGGACAATGTATAGGGTAGAATTGGGTGACATTTTCTGCCATGTATCTGCTTTTCACAAGCCATCTATGAGACCAGGTCTGTATTTGGAGTTAGGCTAACAGCTCTTTGGCTTTATGTGATCTGCCTTTTCCAGCTCCGAACATCCCTGGGGAAAGGAAGAGCATTTATTCGCTACTCCTTGGTGCACCAGAGGTTGGCAGACACCTTACAGCAGTGCTTCATGAACGCCAAAGTGACCAGGTAAATACAGGACATGGCTGAGGTTTAGCACCATCCCATGCAGAAATGAACTAAAGTTCATTAATAATAATGACGATAATTATTCAATAATAATACTGTAACAGCAGTGCTCATTTGTGTCCCCCGTGACACCTGCGGACTCCTTCCACATCTGTCATTGTCTTCCACCCCTCCTCCCAAAGTCCTTGACACGTGGGCAGGTAGCACTGAGTTTTTATAGGTAAGTGAGGCTTGGCAGGGCTTAATGCCTTTCTCTAGGCCTCACTCATTGCTCTCTTAACTCCTGATACCAGGCGTTTTCCCTGGTGGATGGCATGTCCTTGGTGCCAGCACTACTGGACAGGTAGTTTACAGCCTCAGCCTCTCAGCAGAATCACCTGTGGGGTTTTTAACACTACTGTGTCTGAGTCCTCACCTGGCATACCAAATGAACACCCACTGGGGTATCTGTACTCCCTGGAGACTGTGGTGGGCAGTCAGAACTGGGAGCCACTGCTGCAGATCACAGGTCAGGTGAGTGGTCAGCCTTTGAGCAGGTAGTGCTGAAGCCTCAGCAGGGAAGATAGAAGGAAGGAGAGAGGCAGGCGTTGAGTCTATAAAGGGGAGAATGGGTGTCAGCTTAGAAGCTGCAAATCAGGTACCAGTCAACTAAACTTCTTTGGGTTTTCCAGCATCTCTTGACTGGCCTCTTTCCGTTTGAATACTCCCTGGGAGTATTCAAAGAAATCGCTTTTGAATCTAAAAAAACTACAAAGGGAAAACCTTTTGTTTCATTATGTCATCTTAAAGATTGATTTGCACAGAGATGTACTTGTATTTCTCATGCATGTGACAGGCCTTGTGATTTGACATGAGTTCAAAAAGTTTGCATATTTGATTTGAAGGTTATTTTGTTTTAGATATTTGGTGAAGATGCATAGACAACTTAATCACCGTTCACAGACAATAATGTCTCACTTTTTTGCACAGGCGAGAGTGCAGTGGCACTATCATAGCACACTGTAACCTCAAGCTGCTGGGCTCAAGTGATCTTCTTACCTCAGCCTCCGAGTAGCTGGGACTATAGGCATTCACCACTGTGCCTGGCTAATTTTTTACTTCTTGTAGAGACAGGGTCTCACTGTGTTGCCCAGCCTGGTCTCAAAATTCCTGGGCTCAAGTGAGCTCCCTGCCTAGGCCTCCCAAAGTGCTAGGATTACAGGTGTAAGCCACTATGCCCAGCCATCTTTTTCATTTTTGGGGGTGGGTGGCTAGCAGGGGGAAGAGGGTCTTACCCTGTCACACAGACGAGTACAGTGGCACAATTATGGCTCACTCTACCCTCTACCTCCTGGGATCAAGCAGTCCTCCTGCCTCAGGCTCTTGAGAAGCTGGGACTACAGGTGCATGCCACGATGCTCAGCTATTTTTTTATTTTTTTGATAGAGATGGGATCTGTTGCCCACTCTGGCCTTGAACTCCTAGGCTCAAGCTGTCCTCCTGCCTCAGCTTCCCAAAGTGTTTGGATTACAGGCATGAGCAACCGTGCTAAGACCCATATTTTAAAAATTCTTGTTACATTGCCTGAAATGAAACAACTGCTACCTCAAAATGCAGATAACATTTATTTTATTTTTTTTCTCACCCTGCCTTATGGTGCTGAAACATTTCTGAATAGTTTGTTCCTTGGCTCTTAAATTGGTATCTAAATTAGCAGTGAGTTTAGTGTCCCATATTTAGCTCTGAAAATGAAATAGAAGGTAATCTTTCAAAAAGGAAGTTTTCCTTCTCCTACAATAGCCCTTTCTTGGCAAGTAATTGACATTTAAGGTTTCCCATATCCTTTTTGAGAAGTAGATATGATATATATAATAAATGAATAAGCATCCAGATCATTACAGTAATTTCTTTGAAGAAGAGCAAGCTTATTTGAGAGTTATGTGCTTCTACTGTGAAAGTGAAATTGGTTTGTGTGCCTGTGTCTTTTAATTTAGTAACCTGAGTTGGAATCCGATGAGGCAGAGCCACACTGCGAGGACTGATTAAATCACTCTTTCTTTATTGTTATTACTCTTATAATTGACATGTCTTATGTTTTTCTGCAGTGACTGGTACTATGCAAGAAGCCCCTTTCTGCAGCCAAAGCTGAGCTCGGACATTGTGGGTCAACTCTATGAACTGACTGAGGTTCAATTTGACCTGGCATCGAGGGGCTATGACTTGGATGCTGCCTGGCCAACATTTGCCAGGTACTTTGAAGGATTGCTTGGTTTAAAAGACAGGAAAAGAGACATTTTGAAGTTTTGAAGATTGCCATCGGTCTACTCAAAGCAATTTTGCTTGCTCAGTAAATTACATAAAACTGTTCAACTCTTATACCAGCTCCTTTTACAGACTTTTTTGAATCATGACTAACAATAACATCTGAAGGCTCCAACCTTAAACCAATCTGATGGGCCAGGGCATGAGTCAGTGGAGATGCATATTGCAAAACCCAAGGCTTTAAATTTTGTTTAAGGCACTTGTTGTTATGGGCATTCGGGGAGGAGTGGCCTTTTTCCCCTGCCTATTCTTACTGAGCATTACAAAAGCCTCCTAAGCAGTAGGAGAGGGAGTGGAAGCCACAGCTTGTCCACCTAAGTGTTGCAGGAAAGGTTGCTGCATTTTTGTTTCTTCTTTTTTTCTTTTTTGAGACCATCAAACCAGCCATATCTTACACCAATGTGGCACTCACATATCACCATCACCAGAGTCCTTACATCAGCTCCAGGAAGGAAGTGTGAGGAATAGGCTCAGAGGATCAGGGGACTTGACAAAGTCACCCAGCTGGTGGGCAGCAGGCCTGGGACACCTGACGGGTTGAACTCAAGTCCAGCATTCTTTGTTTTGTTTTGTTTTCTGTTAATAAGGCTTTTAAAATTTAACATTTATATTTTTTATTAGGCGACACTTCACATATAGAGAAAAGTAGTGAATATGTTAGTCACATGAAAACCACCAGGATTTAATAGCTTACATTTTGCCATATTCAGATGTCCTTTTTTAATTTTTTGTAGAGATGGAGTCTTGCCATTTTTCCCAGGCTGGTTTGAATTCCTGGGCCCAAGCAGTCCTCCTATCTTGGCCTTCCAAACTGCTGGGGTTACAGGTGTGAGCCATCATGCCCGACCCAGATATTCTTTTTAAAACTTTTGCGTTTTGAAATCATTTCAGAATTATAGAAAAGTTGCAAAAATAGTACAAAGTACTCAAAGTACTCATCTGTCCTTCACCCTGATTCTGTAGTTATTGATATTTTACTATAATTGTTTATCTTTTTTCTATTTACATGTTGATTTATTTCCTAAGCCTTTTGAGAGTAAATTACAGACTTGATCCTCATTTCTCTTAAGTACTTAATTGTGTATTTCCTAAAATCAAAGGACATCCTCTTCTATGACTCAGTACAGTTATTAAAATCAGAAAATTAACGTTGATACAATACTGCTATCTCATCTACAGACCTCATTCAAATTTTACAAATTATCTCAATAATGTCTCTCATAATCTAAGATCTAATCTCAGATCACATGTTAATTGTTAATTCATTAATTGCTAAGCCTCTTTAGTCCCCTTTAATTTGGAAGGGTTTTTCAGTCTTTGTCTTTCATAACATTGACATTTTTGAAAAATACAGGCCAGTTACTTTGTAAAATGTTCCTTAGTTTGAGTTTGTCTGATGTTTCCTCATTGTTGGATTTAGGTTAAGCATTTTTGGCAGGAATACCTCAGATGTTGTGTCCTTGTAAGCACGCTGTATCTGGAGGCACACAACATTGATTTGCTAATGAGGTTAACCCTAGTCATCTGGGTAAGGCAGGACTTGGCAGGTTTCTTCAAAAGTTACTATTTCTCCCTTTGTAATGAATATGTATCTTATGGGAAGACACACTGAAATTACATTATTATCCTTTTTTCTCTTAAATCTGTCATGTATTAGTTTTAATACTATTTGATAATTCTTGCCTGAAGCAGTTACTACCATCATCATTACCAGAGTGATTTTCTAACTCCATTGTTCCTTTTACATTGTTAGTTGGTGTTCTTCTGTGAGGAATATCTTTTCCTTTTTCCCCGTTTATTCATTTACACCAGTATTGACTCGTGGATTCTTATTTTATTCAATACAGTCCAGTACATTCTGTTACTGACATTATTTATTTTGAAGCTTAAATTATCCCATTTATCCAATTATCCCAGTGGGAGCCCCTTCAGGCTGGCTCTTGTGGGGAGGTTTAGTTATGTCTGATACTTTTTTTAAGAAATAAAATATTATCGATCAGTTGCCATCCTTTCTCCTTTATTCCCCTTTCAGACGTAATCATGGCCCTGTAGTCATTCCCAAATCTTATGCATTAACTATTACTTGGCTATTTGTAAATACTGTGTGTGTGTGTGTGTGTGTGTGTGTGTGTATAATTTTACACATGTTGAATCGTGATATCTATACTTTTGCAACCTGCTGTTTTCATTCTGCATTGTTTTTGAGATTTTGTATCTGTTTATACATACATGCAGTTCTGTAGGTATAGAATTGCGTTGGCAAACCACAGCCCACAGGGCCATGTGGAACACAGCTTTGCCCATTTATTCACCTATTGTCCATGGCTGCTTTTACACTAGCAGTGCCAGCTGAGTGATAGAGACCATATAGCCCACAAGACCAAAATATTTACTATCTGGCCCTTTTTTAAAAAAAAGAATGCCAACCCATGGTGTAGAGAATTCTGCTGGGTGAATAAACCACATTATGTCTCTGTCCCTAGCAATGTAGAGTTGGTTTGGTTTCCCTTTTTCCAGTTACAGTGCTGCCAAGAGCATCCCCACCCGCTCCTTATGTACATATGTGACTGCCTTCAGGGAAGATACTACAAAGATCAATTGCTGGGTTGTGGAGACTAAGTTTGAAAACACAATAGTTTTAGATTTAGGAGATGATTCTGATGAAGTAAAAAATATGTTTAGTTTCCAGTGTTCCTGCTAAATGAGAGTTATCACACAAGCCTCTGTATTTCTAAACCAATGCCATCCAAAGGAACTTTCTGCAATGAGGGAAATGCTCTGTATCTGCACTGTCCGGCCTGGTTATGTGACCTAGAAGCAGGCCTCCCCCTGTTGCTGTGTCATACAGAGCGGCAGCTGGCCCCACAAGCACAGTGTGACTCTTACTTAGCAAACTGACTGCTGCTTGTTCCTCACTGGCCGACAGACTGAGGGAGGCACCAAAAGCCCAAGGAAAATTTAAACCAAAAATTGGAAAATACATGTTCACTTAATTCTTTTTTGGCAGTGGGAAGAAAGCCATGATAATAAAACTCTAGCCATGGAATTCGTCTGGTACAGACCAGTGTAGCTGTGCTCCTTGGTGGAATCTGTTGGGTTTGACTTCCTTACATTCTACCTGGGAAGGCAGTCCCCTACCACCACCTGGTTGCCTCATGACCAGCAAGGGCTCCATGTGTGTATGTTTCCTGCTCTGAATACAGGTATATCTGTTTTGTGGCCCCACAGGAGGACGCTGGCCACTGGCTCTTCTGCTTACCTATGGAAACCCCCTAGCCGCAGCTCCAGCATGAGCAGTTTGATGAGCACCTACCTGCAGGTAAGGCCAGGAAGGCTGGGAATTATCTTACTGTAGTTTCTACCAGGGTATGTCCTTGCCCCTAGCAACTCAAGGGTGATGTTCTCAGACACCTGTTCTTCCAGCCACAGCTGGAAGAACCACTCAGTTATAGCCACTGTTCCCTGGAGTCTGGGTTTTTCAACCAAATAGAATCTAGGCTCTCTTAAAATTAAATTCTCTTAAATGATTTTAAAGTATTTTTTTTAAAAAGCAGTTTAGCACCAAAGTGACAGAGTCAAATCTTGACTTTCACCTACCAGCTATGACCAAGGGGAAATTACTTGACCTTCAGCTCTCTCATCCACAGGATGGTGATAATAAAAATCACTCTAGCTCATAAATGAGGGAGTGCGTGTACGGTTCTTAAGCATATGTTAATTGCTTAAGGGCTTGACATATGTGAGGGCTCAGTCAATGTTAGTAGGTAGGGGCACTTTGTTAATTTTTTTAGAAATGTGAATATATCACAGCTGTATATAGTTCTATGGAAACTGATCAGCAATAAAAAAATTAAAACGATCAATATAAGGAACAATTAAACAAAAGATTAATCTTTTACCTTATTTTGTGGCTTAATCATGCCAGGAGTTACAGGTATGGGTATGGCACAATGAATAAACAACAGCTTAGATATAATTGAATTTTTCTCAGAGACAATGTCCATTAAGGGAATCAAGCTGAAGGGGGCTGGATGGGAAATGGAAGTCTGTATCTTAGTGGAGCTCACATGGGTGACTTCATGTCTTTGCAGTGTGCTGCTAAATGTGTGGTAGATGCTTTGAGCAAAGGGATTCTTCTAGTCTTTTGAATAGTTCTTTAGACTAACCTTAGGGCAGCTAATGCCTGTATTTTTACCTCTGCTCTCATTAAACTCTAAAGGTTTTCTGAGTAACCATGTAGCTTCAGCAACACTTGTCTTTTGTGTTTTTCTCCCAGACTCAAGAGATGGCATCCAATTTTGACCTTAACAGTCCCCTAAACAATGAGGCATTGGAGGGCTTTGATGAAATGCGGCTAGAGCTGGACCAGTTGGAGGTGCGGGAAAAGCAGCTGCAGGAGCGCATGCAGCAGCTGGACAGAGAGAACCAGGAGCTGAGGGCAGCTGTCAGCCTGCAAGGGGAGCAACTGCAGACAGAGAGGGAGAGAGGGCGCACTGCAGCAGAGGACAACGTTCGCCTCACTTGCTTGGTGGCTGAGCTCCAGAAGCAGAGGGAGGTAACCCAGGCCACCCAGAACACTGTGAAGGAGCTACAGACGTGCCTGCAGGCCCTGGAGCTAGGAGCAGCAGAAAAGGAGGACTACCACACAGCCCTGCGGCAGCTGGAGTCCCTGCTGCAGCCCTTGGCACAGGAGCTTGAGGCCACACGGGATTCACTGGGCAAGAGGAACCAGCATTTAGCCAGCATCCCAGACTGGCTGGCTATGGCTCAGCAGAAGGCTGATGCGGCACCAGACACAAAGGGCCAGCAAGAACCCATTCCCAGTGATGCGGCTCGGGAGATCCAGGAGCTACAGGAGAAGCTTCGAGCCCTGGAAAGGGAGAGAACCAAGGTTGAAGAGGTCAACAGGCAGCAGAGTGCCCAGCTGGAGCAGCTGGCCAAGGAGCTGCAGCTGAAAGAGGACGCCCAGGCCAACCTGGAGCGCCTGGTGAAGGAGGTGGCCCCACTCCAGGAGGAGTTGTCTGGGAAGGGACAGGAGGCAGACCAGCTCTGGCGACGGCTGCAGGAGTTGCTGGCCCACTCAAGCGCCCGGGAGGAGGAGCTGGCAGAGTTGCGACGGGAGGAGAAACAGCGACAGGAGGAGAAGGAGCTGCTGGAGCAGGAGGTAACATCTCTGACCCGGCAGCTGCAGTTCCTGGAGACCCAGCTGGCACAGGTGAACCAACATGTGAGTGACCTGGAGGAACAGAAGAAGCAGCTCATCCAGGACAAAGACCGCCTGAGCCAGAAGGTGGGTGTGCTGGAGCAGCTTGCTGGGCAGCCCGGCCCAGAACTGCCAGTGGCAGATGAGAAGAATGAGACCCTGGTCCCTGTGAACTCCCCTCTGCAAGTGGCCTGTGGGAAGCCGGAGGAGGAGCAGAGGAGCCTGCAGGGGGCACAGTTAGACGATACCAAGGTGCAGGAGGGCAGCCAGGAGGCAGAGCTCCAGCAGGCCAACAGGGAGCTAGAGAAGGAGCTACAGAATGTGGTTGGGCGTAACCAGCTCCTGGAGGGCAAGCTGCAGGCCCTGCAGGCCGATTACCAGGCTTTGCAGCAGCGGGAAGCAGCCATCCAGGGCTCCTTGGCCTCCCTGGAGGCGGAGCAGGCCAGCATCCGGCACTTGGGCGAGCAGATGGAGGCAAGCTTGCTGGCTGTAAGGAAGGCCAAGAAGGCCATGAAAGCCCAGGTGGCAGAGAAGGAGGCCGCTCTGCAGAGCAAGGAGGGTGAGTGCCAGCAGCTGCGGGAGGAGGTGGAGCAGTGCCGGCAACTGGCAGAGGCCCGGCACAGAGAGTTTAGGGCTCTCGAGAGCCAGTGCCACCAGCAGACCCAGCTGATCGAGGTCCTCACAGCAGAGAAAGGCCAGCAGGGAGTTAGCCCACTCCCCGACAGTGAAGCCCGTGAGCTGGCTGCGCAGCTGGCTGTGTCTCAGGCGCAGCTGGAAGTCCATCAGGGAGAGGCCCAGCGGCTGCAGGCTCAGGTGGTGGACCTGCAGGCTAAGATGCGGGCAGCTCTGGATGACCGGGACAAGGTGCAGAGCCAGCTGAGCATGGCTGAGGCAGTCCTGAGCGAGCACAAGACACTTGTGCAGCAGCTAAAGGAACAGAATGAAGCCCTCAACAGGGCCCATGTCCAGGAGCTGCTGCAGTGCTCAGAGCGTGAAGGGATGCTGCAGGAGGAGAGGGCCGGTGAGGCCCAGCAGAGGGAGGAGGAGCTGCGGGCCCTGCAGGAGGAGCTGTCCCAGGCCAAATGCAGCTCTGAGGAAGCACAGCTGGAGCACTCTGAGCTCCAGGAGCAGCTGCACCAGGCCAACACGGACACAGCCGAGCTAGGCATCCAGGTTTGTGCATTGACCATGGAAAAGGAACAGGTGGAGGAGGCACTGGCCCGTGCTGTCCAGGAGCTCTGGGACTCCAAAGAGGCAGCCTCAAGGGAGCGAGAGAGCCTGGAGTGCCAAGTAGCTGGGCTGCAGCAAGAGAAGGAGAGCTTGCAGGAGAAGCTGAAGGCGGCCAAGACAGCAGCCAGCTCACTGCCTGGCCTGCAGGCCCAGCTCGCCCAGGCCGAGCAGCGGGCCCAGAGCCTCCAGGATGCTGCACACCAGGAGCTTGACACCCTCAAGTTCCAGCTGAGTGCTGAAATCATGGACTACCAGAGCAGACTTAAGGTAATACTAGCTTCAACCACTTGAGCTCTACCCATCTCCCTGAGCAGGCCTGGTGGGTCCATGGAAGGATGATGCACCTTCAGCCATGAGGCAGGTGATGGCTGGAGAATGTACTGTGGATGCAGGCATACACCTCTTGGTCCTGTCCTGCCATCACAACTCACAGTAGCATCTTTTTCTCTGTGGAAACACTTTAAGACAGAATATTGGGAGTGATGCCTTAGCCCAGAAGTCTAAACTCAAGACCATTGCAAACAAGATTAGCCCACACAGAAGTTTTTAAAATTAGTAGCCAACATTGAAAGAGCAGAGTGTTTACAAATACAGTTTGAGGGCTTCTTTTGAAACCTCAGAAGATCTGAAAGCCTGCGTCCTCACCCCACCCGCTCCCTGTGGCAGCTGAAGATAGTCAGCAGGAGCCTGAGGGTGGCTGCCCACTTTAAAGGAGGCACACATCCTCAGGACTTTTCCTTACATTCGTTTCTGTACTTGCCCAGCTCCCCTGGGCATGTGAGTGTGAGAGCCCTGACTTAGCCTCCAAAACCCCTGCAGTGAGCCAGCAGTTCACAGCTGCTCACGTCCTGTCTCTGGGTTCTTAGTGAATAACCAACCCCATCAGGTGCTCTCCTGACAGCAGGTGCAGGGTAGGGAACCAACTCACTTAGTTTTACAAGGCCCTTGGAACAGACAAGTTAGTGAGATGAGCAGTTACTGTGTGCCTTTGATAGTGCACAAAGATGAGGAGTTAAAGATGGTTACGAGTGAAGACAGGCAGAGTGGCCTGGGACTTTGATTTCTAGGGCTCGCCACTAATCTGCCTGCGTCAAGGTCTGTGTACTCTCAGGCTACTCCTAATTGTCCTCTCTCAGGCAGCTCCACCACACCACCAGAGGTGTGCCTCCGCACCCAGTGCCGCCCCACCCGTGAAACTCCTTGTGGCTCATAGCCAACTTTTTCCCTTGCAGAAATTAAGTTCTAAATTTGGGGACCAGGCTAAGTCTCTTTTCCTAGTAAGCTTGAAAGTGTTTCGTTATTAATAAGCCCAAGGCTCATTGAGGAGCCAGTTTGCCTGGAAAAAGAGAAAGGTAGCTTGGTTTTATCTGTTTAGGTGATGGGGCTGAGGGATCCTCAGAGCAAAGACCTTACCTTTATGATCTCTTTCCTGTCCTCTCTAGAATGCTGGCGAAGAGTGCAGGAACCTCAGAGGCCAGCTTGAGGAGCAAGGCCGGCAGCTGCAGGCTGCCGAGGAAGCTGTGGGGAAGCTGAAGGTAGGCCTTGGTGGTGTGGACCTGTCAGGGAGAGGACATCCGATGTGATTTTGACTGGACCATTTAAGAGGGCTCCCTGCATACCTCCAAATTCTTAGGCTGAAGCCATCCTCAGTTCACCTTTGTAGACACCCTCAGTTTGTACCTGACCCCCTCCATTCCCTGGACACCTGGCTGGAGCTGCCAAATACAGAAAGGAAATAAGTTGTCCTCTTTGGCTATCTCTATGGGTGATCGCCAGCCAGTGATTCTAAACTTGGCGGGCGCAGGAGTGGCACTGGTCCCACAGTCTTCAGAGCAGTGACTTGTTCAAGTGAATCCTGCTCCCTGCCACCCCTGCTTTTAACATCACCCTGGAAATTCTGATACCTGCCACCTGCCAACTACCACAACTAGTTGCAGTTGAGACCCCACAGATATAGAGCAGAGGTTCTTGGCCTCTTGAACTTAATAGAAAACAACCCTCCATTTAGAAGTGACCCAGCCAGATGGGGTGGATGGCATACCAGTCACTTTATGGTACGTTGCATGGGCTTCTGCAAGCTGAGTGTCTCCTCCCTGTTGTCCTGTGCCAGGCCACCCAAGCAGACATGGGAGAGAAGCTGAGCTGCACCAGCAACCACCTTGCGGAGTGCCAGGCAGCCATGCTGAGGAAGGACCAGGAGGGGGCTGCCCTGCGTGAAGACCTAGAAAGGTTAGTCACAGTCCACCTACACGGCTGTCGGTACCCTTCAGGGAAGGAGTGTTTGGTCCCGTCATTTAGAAAGTCAGTCACTCATACTAGGTTTAGGAAGTCCTTTTGCAAGAAAAGCCACAAACTCAGAAAGTGCTTATGCTCAGAAAGCGTGTGCCACAAAGAACCTGGCTGCCTGCCCATCAGAACCTATACATGGCTAAGGCACCTTTCTCCTAATTCGATTGTCTTCTCTCTGGCATGTCGCAGTGCATACTTCAGTAACGGCAAGCTTTGGAAAAACTAAAATGAAATGAAAGTTAGATCATAAAAATGTAATTAGTTAACAGCATATATTTAAATAATGCTGAAAATGTGGCAGGCTCTGTTTTAAATATGTTGCATACATTGACCCAGTTAATCCTCCTAATGGTCCTGTGAGGAAAGTATTATCATTTATCCCCATTTTATGGATGAGGAAGATGAGTGTGCCAAGGACCAGGATCAGCCTGTCTTTGTGCAGACTCTCTGATGCCCTATCTGTGGAGAGCAGATCACTCTGCCACCCCAAGGCCTCCTTGACCCCCCTCATCATGAGGCTTGGGGCCACGTGGAGTTGTGAGCCTAAGTCCACCATGTGGTTATGGGACGCAGCTAGTTGAGCCAGGACCTGATTAAAAAAAGGTTTAGCAGGGAGGCAGAGTTGCTGGAATTGAATTGCATGTGTGCTACCAGCAAAGATAAGCACACCAAACTGTCCCAAGTCTCTGACTTTTCTATTTATCAATTACCTCTTCCCACCACCTGCCTTCTAGAACTGGGCTCTGGCTCAATGGGAGATCCAGGATCCTGGACATACATTTCTTTTCATCTTACCCTTCCAGTGTTAAGATCCTATAGGGCACTGGCTGCCTCTTAGCTAAGTCATATTCATGTGACAGTTTAAACAGAGCCTGAGTTGGTGGCATGAAAACATGCTATAACAGTGTTTTTTTTCTTTGTTTATTTTTGGTTTGGTTTTTGTTTTGTTTTATTTTTTTGAGACAGAGTTTCACTCTTGTTGCCCAGACTGGAGTGCAATGGCATGATCTTGGCTCACTGCAACCTCTGCCTCCCAGGTTCAAGCAATTCTTCTGCCTCAGCCTCCCAAGTAGCTGGGATTACAGGCATGTGCCACCATGCCTGGCTAATTTTGTATTTTTAGTACATGTTGGTCAGGCTGGTCTCAAACTCCTGACATCAGGTGATCCACCTGCCTTGGCCTCCCAAAGTGCTGGGATTACAGGTGTGAGCCATCACACTCAGCCAGAACAGTGGTTATTTGTAAGATATCAGAGCATTTGTTTCAGCTGCTCAAAGCTGCACAGTCTGTCTGCCAACTTATTTTATTTCAGTGTGTGTGTGTGGTGTATGGTGTGGGTGTGGGTGCACCTATAAAGTCATTTTGGTGGACAGGGTTTAGTAAACAACTCCCTGGCAACTTTATACTAGATGTGGAAGGGCTGCATTAGGTATAAATTAATCAGTCTCTCTGCAGAGCCCTTTGTTTAATGGAGCTTTTATTATGTCCCACTGGACCCCCCTTGGAAAACCACTGCCTTAGTGGATAACTGAGTTGAAAATGGAGTAGGTGGGGTCAGGAAGACAGCGAGATTCAGCCGGCTTCTTCTGCTGTAAACTGAGACATCCTGTAGCACCCAAAATGGAATTCCCTGGGCCTCAGGGGGCTGTCAGGTAGAACAGCTGGCAGTGCAGATTGAGACTGAGTGCTGCTGTGGGCCCAGCACCCATGCCCCGTGTAGAGTCCCAAGGACGTGTGGAAGGCAGGCCTTCCTCCGTGCGGCCACCTCCAGGAAGCTACACCTCTGTCCTGCCTGTCCTGACTCCTTTCTCATCCTGCCCATCCTCCCCATCACCAGCCCAGGAGCCTTGCCTACCAGGCTCCTCTCACAAGCTCAGCCCCTGTCCAGGAGCAAAGAAGTGCAGAGTTCTATTCACTTAGGGTGCTTCTGGCAACCTGGGGTCAGCCTGTCCTCCCTCCCAGAATGCCCCTTTGTATGTGGGGGTGTGAGGAGAGTCTCAAAAGCTAGAGACTGCATAACCTGTGAGCAGATAGTACTAAGGGGCTCCCCCACGGTGGCAGCAGTAGCACCCCTCATTAGAGTCCTGGGTGAGCCTAGAAGCCCTGGGGAAGCTGGAATTCCTGAGTAATCAAGAAAACTTACCTCTCCTCCCCCAGGACCCAGAAGGAACTCGAAAAAGCCTCAATAAAAATCCAAGAGTATTACAACAAACTTTGCCAGGAGGTGACAGACCGCGAGAGGAATGACCAGAAGATGCTCGCTGACCTGGATGACCTCAACAGAACCAAGAAGTATCTCGAGGAGCGGCTGATAGAGTTGCTCAGGTGAGTGTTGGCTCAAACCAGCAGCTGGGGTTTTCCCCACACTTGCGTTTTTCTAAAGAAATGTAGCTATTCTTGAAAGCACAGTTCAGAAATTTCATTTTCTTGCCCTCTCTCAGGAGCCCCTCTCTCCTCCTCCATCTCACTTTCCCCAGTACTAGGAGTCCCAGACTCCAGTGCCTACAGGTACTGCAGCTGATGTAAATTTGACCTGGGTCAGGAGGGGACAGTGAGAAACTGGGGACACAACTGGGCTCTGCTTCTCCACATCTGTCTTGGCTCAAAACTGCCAGACCACCTTACTTCTCAAGAGAAGATGGAAACCTGGATTTTCATGTGAAATGTCCTGATTTTGTAATGTTGGCAAGTCATTCAAAACTTCTTTTAACTTTTCTTTATGGAAATTTTCGAATATACAAAAATGGAATCATGTAATACACCCCTAGTTACCTGTCACCCAGCTTCAATAGTGTTTAGCTCAGGGCCAGTCTTGCTTCATCTGTAGACCCACCTGCTTTTTCACCTTCCAAGATTATTTCAAAGCAAATCCCAGACATATCACTTCATCCGTAAATATTTCAGTATGTATCTCTCCAAGACAAGGGCTCTTTTATTTTATTTTTCTTTATTTTATTTATTTATTTCGAGACAGAGTCTCACTCTGTTGCCCAGGCTTGAGTGCAGTAGCATGATCTCGGCTCACTGCAACCTCTTCCTCCTGGGTTCACGCCATTCTTGTGCCTCGGCCACCTGAGTAGCTGCAATTACAGATGCGTACCACCACCGGCTAATTTTTGTATTTTTATTAGAGACAGGGCTTCACCATGTTGGCCGGGCTGGTCCTGAATTCTTGGCCTCAAGTGATTTGCCTGTGTCAGCCTCCCAAGTGCTGGGATTACAGGCACGAGCCACCATGCCTGGCCCAGAACTCTCCATTTTAAACAACCACAGTGTCCTTATGACATCTTAAAAAATGAAGTATAATTTCTTAATATCATCAAGTATCTAGTCAGTTTCAAATTTTTCCCAGTGCCTTAGAATTTTTTTAGGTCATTCTAATCAGGATCTAAATTAGATCATCTACTGCCATTGATGTGTCTCTTACATCCTTTTTAGTCTATGGGGTTCCCTACCATCTCTCTACTTTTGCTGATTGCATCCTTGTGATGTCATTTAACACGATCATCCATCCCTTGCATTTCCTATGAGTCCATAGTTACAACTATTGCAGTGGTTCTCAATCCTGGCTACGTATTAGAATCACTAGGGAAGTCATTTAAAAATGCGCATGTCCAAGCCCCACCCCAGCTAACTGAATTGCAACTTCCAGGAGTGGGACCCTGACACCAGTGAGCCAGAGTTGAGGACCATCATTCTACTAGTATCTTGCGTAGATTCAGGTTCAAAATTTTGGCAAGAAGCCTTCATACAATTGATTTGTAGTTTTGTGTCTTTCCTTCAAGAGGCACATGCAATCTGATTAGCCCTCTTTTTGTGATGTTAGCAGGACCATGGATCAGCAAGGCCTAGACCTGCTAATTCATTAAGTTTTGCAAAACAGTGATATTAAAATTATAACCAAGTTGAAGGTTTAAAAACTCTGCCTTCTTATCATCACTACACAGAGTTATGACCCAAGGTATTTGTGACCTGAGGAGTGTGGTGGAAAACCCCCAGCTCCTGGCAGCATTCCACATTCCCAAAGTGTAGGTGGATCAGCCTAGAGAATGAGGCTGCTTCAGAGAACGAGTCTTCCTACTTCCTGACAGTTTCAGCCGTCCTTGAAAAAGCCATTCAAGCCCATGTTCAAGCTTATTTATTTAGTACAAACGATCTGTGGTTGGTTGAGAGTTCCTGGTCAGTGATGGAGCCTGTCTCTCTCAGGACCTGAGTGGCTCGGGTGTCACATTATCAGTGGCCGCGGTGCTGCTAGGGCCGCATTAGCCCTCAGGTTGCCAGCTGGGGCTCCATACGAGAAAGAACTAAACTTCAGAAACCGTCAAGCTTGAAAATGCTCATTAATTTCCCTGAGGAAGCCTCTGTTCACATCCTCCCCCTCCAGGGCATCAGGCACATTCTGACACTGCCAGACCTTTCTGGAAAGCCTCACACTTCTTTCGTTCTGGCTTCCTGGAATGACCTTACCATCTCTCTGAGGGGCAGAGGAGGCTAACATCTGATCAGATTTTCACGCTAGGAAATCTTTGATCTTCTCCACTGATTAACTATTACTTGGACCAACCGTAGAAGCATAAAGGACCCCAAGCACATTAAGATTTGGGTGGGGAGTACATTCATGGTCCTTGGACTTAGGGCACACAGAGTCAGCATGACAGTATGTTTTAGCCTGAACTCCCAGTGGTCCTCAGCACTGTTGTTTAGGTGCCTGAGTAGTGCCCTCGTTGCTGCTGACAGCTCTTTGCAGTTGACAGTGCCTTCTGTGTACATCTTTTGCCTCCTGTGCGTTCTCATTCATGTGGTGTCACTTAAGTGTGCATGTTGGGGGAGATGGAAGAGACCTAGCATGGGCTAGGGCATATTTACAAGGTGAAAGTGAATTTTCTTTCTATGACTTAGGAAATGTCTTTCGAAATGAAACAAGATCGTCCTATTGGTTTCATGGATTCTCTCTGCTTTTCTTCCAATGGGGTTTTGTCCCAGGGACAAGGATGCTCTCTGGCAGAAGTCTGATGCCCTAGAATTCCAGCAGAAGCTCAGTGCCGAGGAGAGGTGGCTTGGGGACACGGAGGCAAACCACTGCCTCGACTGCAAGCGGGAGTTCAGCTGGATGGTGCGGCGGCACCACTGTAGGTCAGCAGGGGGCTCATGGGCTGGCACCAAAACCCTGGCGGGGCCCAGGACCAGAGCAGACAACTCTGAAAGAGGACTCTGTGATAGGTGTTGGCACTCTGTAATAGATGTTGGCACCATGGCTGGTATTTAGGAGGAGCACATTGCATTTTGGCTTTAAGGGAACCAGGTGAGGAAGGTGTATTAGTTGGGATCCTAGCAGAACATTCAGGGCTCCCTGAAAGGGAAGAACTAAATACAGAGATGTGGATGGAGTTAGTGGGGCCCACAGGGGTGGGGCATACCCAGAGGCTAGCAGTTCTTCTACCATTCCTCAGCCTATAGGGACCAGAGAGGAGCAGTGTTACTGGAAGCCGACGAGAGCTGGCCTGAGGCTTCACTAGAGGAGCACAGGCAGTGCCAGGGGCACAAAAGCCAGAGAAGGTTGGTTAAAGATGAATCTTTGGCTGGGCTAGGGGCAGGTGCAGAATAATTCTCAAAGCTGTGGAGGTCTGTGGTCTCTTAGAGCCTTTGCCCCTGAGATATGGGAGGAATACCTACAAATTGGTGCCAGGGAAGGTGGGCTCAGCCACGCTTTGTCTCCCTGCCTCCCAAGACCTCAGGAAGTAAAACATTCTTTCACCAAGCTGACAAGAGGGCTTTGTTGGAATCTTATGAAATGAGCTCATGGCTACATCCTAAAGTAGGGGCAGAGCCGAGTCTGATGAGGGTCATGTGGCAGCCAGAGCACAGTTTGGGTAGTGAGCAGATCACGCAAGATCATAGTGTATCGTCCTCACAGCCTGGGCTTGTTTTGTTCCCAGGATATGTGGCCGCATCTTCTGTTACTACTGCTGCAACAACTACGTCCTAACCAAGCACGGTGGCAAGAAGGAGCGCTGCTGCCGAGCCTGTTTCCAGAAGCTCAGTGAAGGCCCTGGCTCCCCTGATAGCACTGGCTCAGGCACTAGCCAGGGAGAGCCCAGCCCTGCACTATCACCAGCCTCAGCTGGGCCCCAGGCCACAGGACACCAAGGTCAGGCCCCCGTTACTGCCTACTGTGTTCTCTAGGTGCCACCCCTGCCAAGTTGTGTCTAGTTACTGCTCAGAAGCTGAATTCAGTGTTTTCTAAACTTACATATTAAAGAGGTGCTAAAATATGTTACCACCAGCTTGACACTTTCATTTTGACGTGCTTAGGATTGAAAGAGAATTGAAAAGGGAATAACTTTCTCCTGGTAAGATTCAGTGTGGTTTTTGAAAAGGGAATAACTCTCTCCTGATAAGATTCAGGGTGGTTTTATTTATTCATTTTTTTGAGACGGAGTCTCACTGTCACCCAGGCTGGAGTGTGGTGGTGTGATCTCGACTCACTGCAACCTCCACCTCCCTGGTTCAAGCAATTCCCCTGCCTCAGCCTCCCAAGTCAGCTGGGATTACAGGCACGTGCCACCACGCCTGGCTGGTTTTTTTTGTTTTTTGTTTTTTGGTTTTTTTTGCATTTTTAGTAGAGATGGGGTTTAGTAGAGACCAGATGACCATGTTGGTCAGGCTGGTCTCAAACTCCTGACCTCATTATCTGCCCACCTTGGCCTCCCAAAGTGCTGGGATTACAGGCATGAGCCACCACACCTGGCCTCAGTGTGGTTTACCATGAAGTCTATGTACATCTTAATGCACATCTGTGAAATACATCCCAGGCTTTGGAAAATGCTGTCTACCAGGGCCTCAGCCCTGGCATCCAGAGTAACTCAAGGCTAGGAGTTGTGTCAGGAACCATCCACATTCTTCACTCTCTTCCTGAAGCTCGCTCTCCCTTCATGTCCAAGGAGGATGTAATCTCCTTTGTGTCCTCTCACTCAGCCCAGTAAAGGAAGTAGAGTTTGAGTTCTGCTGCATCTGCTTTGAGCATACCCTAACAGATAGACCTGGGCTGCCCTCCAGGGCACTGGACTTTGGATGTGTAGCACAGGGAGGCAGAGCTGAGAAGGCACAGGCAGAAGTGGTCTCAGCTCATCTCTGCTCTAGCCTCATTGCCATTGCAATTGGTCCCTGTGAACTCCTCCTTGGCCTCTGCGTGGATGCAGGCCAGCCAGCCTTTAGAAATGCTGTCCATTCCTCTTTTGTTTGAGTGGATTACCAAGTGGTTGGCAGGCCCCATTATGTTGTTGGGTACAAAGAACTGATCAGGACAGAGAGTGTACTTGGCACAGCATTAGTTTATCTTCAAATGTTTTGCCCATTTTAAAATATTTTTTAATTACTGAATTTTGAGAGTCCTCTGTATATTCTCTATGCAAGTTCTTTTTCAGGTATGTACCTTTTTCCCACTCTATAGCTTGTCTTTATATTTTCTTTCAAAAAGCAAAAAAGTCTTCAAAGAGCAGAAGTTTATCATTTTAAGGAGGTCCAGTTCATCAGTTTTTTTTCTGTTATGGATAAATGTTTTTCTTTTTGTTGTCATATCTAGCTCAAAGACCTTCCATTGTCCCTTAGAAGTTTTATAGCTTTAGTTTATACATTTAGGACTAGGATTAATCAGTTATTTTTGTGTATGGTGAAAGGTATGAATAGAGGTTCATCTTTCTGTATATAGTTGTCCAGTTATTTCAACACCATTGATTGAAAGACTATTCTCTTTTCCTGTAGAATTGCCTTTGTACCTTTGTCAAAAATTGACCTTATTTTTTTTTATGCTGCCATGAGAAAGTAGGCAATTGACCTTATATGTGTGGATTTATATCTGGACTTTTATTCTATTCCGTTTATCTATGTGCCTATTCTTTCGCCAATACCCAACTGTTAGGATTACCATAGTTTTAAAAAGCTTCTTAAAATTAGGTAGAGTGATTCTAGTTTTGTTCTTTATCAAAGTATTGGCTATCATAGGTTTTTGTTTTTCTATATAAGTTTTAGTTATCAGTTTGTCAATTTCTACAAAAACTCCTGGTGATACTTAAATTGGAATTGCATTAACTCTGTAGTTCAGTTTGGGGAGAATTGACATCTCAATAAAATTGACTCAGTTCATGAGCATGGTATAATTTTCTATTTATTTAGGGCTTTGGTTTCTGTCAGTGGACATCATTTTAGATCCTTGTTGTCTGTTTTTCCCTTCCCTCTGCCAGCCTTACAAGGCAGGTTCAGGAGTATGGCTGGGTCTATGGAAAAAAAACAATCCCTGGCCCCCTTTTTTAGCATATGCCTCAAGCTTTCTGTTACATAAACTTGGGGCAAGAAGAACTTCCCTTCTAAAGCAGGGCCTGTCTTAGTGGTCATATGGCAGGTCCAGATAAGAACTTTAAGTTCACATGAACCATTTTTCTTGCTAACCACCCCAGGAACTATGCATGGGCTTGCCCTAACTCATTAGTGACCACAGAGTGCTAAGGTCGCTTGTTTTGATTTTTGACATTTCCCTTCTGCTCATTTTATTTATTTATTTATTTTGAGACAGAGTCTCACTCTGTTTCTCAGGCTGGAGTGCAGTGGAACAATCTCTGCTCACTGTAACCTCTGCCTCCTGGGTTTATGTGATTCTTGTGCCTCAGCCTCCCAAGTAGCTGGGATTACAGGTGCCCACCACCACATTTGGCTAATTTTTGTATTTTTATTAGAGATAGGGTTTCACCATTTTGGCTCAAGTGATCCACCGGCCTTGGCCTCCCAAAGTGCTCCCAAAATGCTTTTTTAATAAGGTTTTTCCTTTCAAATAAGGGACCTCAGAGAATACACAAGAGGTTGAAACCTCTCTAAGCCCCTGACTTTGAGAAGCCTCTTAGGTTGTGCATACCATTTCATCTGTAAGCCTTCCTCTACATTTTTGGAATGTCCCAGCAACTGTTTCTCTTAACTCTGGACAGAACAGCTGTCAGTTGAGTGACTAATTAAACTGTACCTCAGCAGCTTGTTCTGCATAGCTGCACTCCCTCACTTTCCTGAGGGCCCCTACCCAGCCTGTGCATAACAGTGTGTTGTGTCTCTTCTCTCCCGATCTGCCTCTGCTGCCCAGGAGCAATCACAGACTACAGGCCACCAGACGATGCTGTGTTTGATATCATCACAGATGAGGAATTGTGCCAGATACAGGAGTCCGGCTCCTCCTTGCCTGAGACACCCACTGAAACTGATTCTCTTGACCCAAATGTGGCTGAACAGTGAGTAGAGGTCACCTCCATTTCTTGAGTACTCATTGCAAGCCTGACTGTTGTGCTTTCTTATCAAAGAATGAGAGAAGTGAGACATTGAAAGCAGGATTGACTGTCTTTGCCTAAGGGAAGGTGCCTGAGAACAGTGCTTTGTGATCACCTGGAAGAGCACCAGCGCTTGGGGAGTGGTCAGTGTTGAGCCTTGCAGGGAGTTCCTGGGAGATGTCAGTGGCCCCTGGTTTCAGCGTCACCATTAAGGCCTGTCTTTCTTGGTTTGAGCACCTGTGTTAGTTTGCTTGGGTGCTATATAAAATACCACAGACTGGGTGATTTAAATAACAGAAATTTACCTTCTCACAGCTCTGGAGGCTGGAAATGCATGGTCAGGTGCTGGCAGGGTTGGTTTCCTGTGAGGTGCCGCTCCTTGGCTTGCAGGTGTCTGCCTCCTTACTGCTTCTTCATGTGGCTATCTCCTGTTGCACACCCCTGGTGTGTCTCCATGTCTCTCAGTCTCCTCTTCTTATAGACAGTGGTCAGATTGGATCAGGGCCCACCCTAATGGCATCATCTTAACTTAATCATTCATCTACAGGCCTAATCTCCAAATGCAGCCACAGTCTGAAGTCCTGGTGCTTAGGACTTAAGCATGTGAATAATTTGGGGTATGGGGAGACAATTTGGCCTATAACAGCAACCCTTGCTGGGCCGCCCTTGACAGTTGATCAGAGCAACATGCTGCAGTGTGCTAATGGAATGGAACATGCCCTGGGGACCACTGGACTGTGGGGGTTGGGAGAACACTGCAGGCTAATACAGTCAGGGAATGCATCAGAGCAGGGGTGTCCAATCTTTTGGCTTCCCTGGGCCACATTGGAAGAAGAAGAATTGTTTTAGGCCACACATAAATACACTAACACTAACGATAGCTAATAAGCTTAGAAAAAAATCGCCATCCCCCCCCAAAAAAATTTCATAGTGTTTCAAGAAAGTTCATGGACTTGTATGGGCCACATTCAAAGTCCTGGGCTGCACACAGCCTGTAGGCTGCAGGTTGGGCAACTTGCTTCAGAGGAAGGTATTCCAGGAAGGGAAGGAAAGGCCCAAAGTCACAGAGGCCACAGTGAGTAGGGGCTGTCTTGGGTCTTGAGTTTGGTGATGGATTGGCTTCATCTGTGAGGCTCCAGCACAGTGAGTTTAGTTCATCTTTTGGAAACACTAATCAGGCTTGGTAAGGATGCCATGAGAAAGGACGCTTGGAGTTAGTTGCAATCGTCTCTGATAGATGTGTCCTCTCAGAGGTCACTTTAGCTGCAGATAAACCCACCCAAAGCCTCAAAGTTTTAGCAGTAAGAAAAATATGGACAGGTCTATTACTTGGTGCCCTGTGGAACCCAAGGGACTTTCCACTCATCTAGCCTGCACTTTGCCCTAGTGCTGGTATTTTATGCTCCTCTTAATCAGCAACCTGTCTCCACCGAACCTTCCTGACTGCTGCAAGAATGCTGCAGCTTACAGTCAGCCTGTACATAGCAGCGTGTTGTATATGAGAGCAGGCTTTAGAAGGACAAAACAGCCACTGCAACGATGGTCTGAAGTGCTTGTTCTTCCTTGGCCCTCTCGTTTTTCTAGTATAGCTATTTTCCGACAAGCTTTTCAAGGAGAGTTTTACAAGGGCCAATTTTTAAAAACATGAATTGTATAAAGTGCCACCATATTAAAATCCCAAGAGTTTATGACATAGGACCCATAGAAAAGGAGGTCCTTGCTTGATGTTTCTCAGCCCCTGTTGTCCAACTTTAATGCAGTTTCTACAAAAAAGGCACTGGCTGTTTAGAAACTCAAGGAAGAATGTATGTGGTTCCTAGGTCCCAGACATTTCTCGACCCATTTTCTCTAGTTAAGGACATTTTATGATACTCCTGCCTCAACATGGAGATCTGCCCCTCTTTTCCTGCCCAGAATTCAGAGGACTGATCTGTCAGATTGATCATTCAGCATTTCTGCTGCATGTATTTCATCTTCATGAGGCTGCCAGTGCAAGGGACTTCAGGCCTATGAATATCTAGTGACTGAACTCACCGTGTTGTAGCTTCATGGATAAAGCTAGCCTGATCACCAAACTCGCTAGACCCAAGATTGCCTCTACTACTGCCATTTCTGTAACTTTGGGCTTTTCCTTTCCTCCCTGGGATACTCCTCCAGCCCCAACCATGTAAGCCTGCAGTGTTCTCCCAACCCCTATGGCCCAGTGGTCCCTGGGGCATGGTCCATTCCATTAGCACTAAGCTACACTCTGCCTCCACCACCTGGAAAGCTTGGTGGGTAGGTGGTAAAGTGAGCAGGACCGGGAACCTGCAGGCCTGGGAGGACATTCTGGCTTGAAAGTATCTTGCTGTCTCCTCTGGCCTGCGTGAGAAAGTGACTATCCTGCAGCTGGCTCTCTCCTCACCCCTCACCTCCCCTGCCGAGTAGGAACAAAAACAGAAGGCATTCCAACTGCTGACAAATATGTGTGGTTTTGGTCTTGGGAAATCAGGAACTGTTCCAGGGGAAGGAAACTGCCAGCATGCTGGTCCACGACCACCAAGACGGATCTGGTACTAGCTGATGGGAACCTGCAATCCCTGCACTTCTGTTTGGGTGAAGAGCCATTCTTCCAAGTCAGTTAAAGGCTGCATTGTCAGGCACCTTTTTGTGCACTAGCTGGAGATAAACACAAGTATTTCTGGTAGTGTTTTCCTACATTCTTTTTCTTCTTAAGTTTTAAGACCTAAATAAAAAACACCAAGAGTCTGAGAAAGTGTGGAAAATCTGAAGCCCTAGATTTGTGTAAGCATCCCTGGCAAGAAACTTCAAGAAAAAATAAGCAAGTCCAAAGTAAGAAGGGATCTGGGAGACCTTAAACACTAAGTCTAAATTCATGAGGAGTATCAGGCCACTTGGAAGTAGTGTTGTTGAAAGTGACTCTGTTATGCGCCTTTCTTGCACCAGCTGCTCTTACACATGACCTCACCTAGTCCCTGTGCTGCCCACCAGGGAGTGGAAATTATCATCTCATTTTATAGCCAAAGAAGCTGAAGCCTCAGGAAGCCGGATAATTTGTGGTGTTGGAGGTGCCAGAACTAGGCTTTGGACTCCTCCCTCCAGTCCACTGGCTTAAGAGTCATTCGGAAGAGTTCAGCTCTCTTCTCCCCACCCCATGTCCCTATTTTGCCCATCTTCCCGCCTCCATGTTCATGCTTTCGCACAAGTACACATTCTTGGGGCTAAGGAAGTTGCTTGCGCTGCCCCTCCTCATGGCAGAGATGGGTCAGGAAGAGGTCCCAAAGTCCAGCCTGCCAGGAAGACCTGGCCGGATGCTTTAACTCACTAAGCAACCTCCCAGTGGTCCCTGTGCATGGCTCAGAGCTAGAATGGTGGTGACAGCAGGAGCACAGCCCCTGACTTCCGCAGAAAAGATGGGGTTCATCAGAGCCCTCCAGACACACCTGTACACCCCCCTTTTCGGTCATTTAGGCCCACCTTCTGCCATTTCCACTGACCAGGTGCCCAGCTGTTCTCCAGACTGAGGTGGAGAAGGAAACCAAGCACTTGTCAGCTGGTGAACCAGGCCTGTGGAGTAAGGGCTGGCAGGAGCACTGGGCTGTGGCTCCCTCGGCCTTTGCTCTGCCTCTACCCGGTGACGGCCTCCTTGAGGCCCAGCCTCCCCCTCTGGCTACCAGATGAACAGACAGTATGGTGGTGAAGAACTCAAGCTCCAGAGTCAAACGCGCCTGGTCTGTCACCACCAGGCTCCATGGCTCTAGGCAGGGCAGTCCCCGAACTCAGTTTCCTTTCCTATGCAGAAGAGACTAGAACAGCACCCATCTCTAGGGGTATTAGGAAGATTACATGATAACTATGTGTGTGGAGCACTGAGCCCAGCCCAGTGCCTCATACCTGGGAAGACTTTCATGGAGGTATGTTGCTTTCCTGATGTTGTGCCATCAGGGGCTGAGCTGTGCATGTACTGCCGCCCTCCCAGTACCTTGCACTACGCAGCCTAATTGTCTCCTCCAAGGAAGATCCTTCAGATAGCTGGATGACACTAATTTGAGCGTAAACTCTCCCACAGAAACGAACCCTGAACCCTCAGAGCGTCTTTGCCAGTAATTGCTTCAGAACTGGTGCTTCGTGTCTGAGTGTCTAGGGGTGCTGTGGTAGATTTATCACCCACCAGGAGATTTGATGCTTGTTATCTCAGAAACAAAATGAGAACAGGATATGGTGAATGGTTAAGGTTACAAAGCCACCTTGCACATGGGTTAACCCAAGATCACTGCCTTCAGCTGAACACAGAGGTGACAGGTACCCTGTGGCTTGTCAGTGGCAGGAAACCTTTCTGCAGCCAACATTCTGGGCAAAGAAAGAGGCTGTTTACTGAGGTGGTAGTCCTAGCTCTGTTGTCTGAGCTTTGGCAGGCATTAACCTCTCTGAACTAGTTTTCTCATCTGAAAATGGGGATGATAGTGCCAGGCCTCCTACACAATGGCATTAGTTACCAGGGACCAGCAGGGACCGGGCAGCTGGAAGAGGGTGCTGCTTTGAGAGCCCCTTGGAGGAGAAAGCCAGAGTGACTGCCCTGACCACCTTCCTGACCACTCCCTGATCACTCTTTGCCCTGCCTCCACCCCTGCAGTAGGGGTAGCTCTAGACTTTTCTCTTCTGTGGTACCATCTCCTCCATAGAATATCCACGGAGGACACACCTGGGCTCCTAGCTCCCAGGTAGCCCCTAGAGTCAGTGTCATCTTGTGTTCCCCACATCTCAGATGATATGGCCGTTCGTGGCCTCTGCCATATCTCTAATGGGATTGGAGCGCATAAGTACCGTAGCTACCCCCCAGGTTTGGGAATTTGGTAGGGAAAGGGCATGTCCTTTACTCTCCAACCCTGAGGCCACACCAAGGCAATGTGGACTCAAGCAGAGCCCACACTCAGCCTGATCCCTTCTCCCCAGGCCTCTGATGCCACATGCTGGTGTGGGTGAGCGGAGGGGAGAGCCAAGTGGAAGGGAGAAGGGTGGGCCTGAGGTTGGGAACTGGCCCTTCCCCGCACATGACTGCACTGTCCTCTGTGGAGTGGAGCCTGTGCCAACGGCATCTTCTGCTTCCTGGGCTGTGGTGTGGTTGGACTCAGATAAGGCATGAAGGCCTTCTGTAATCTGCACGTGTTGTGCCAGTGTTTATTCCTTTACCCAAGGGAAGGGGTTGGAAAACTGACATCTACTCCAAAGAGTGGCAGGTAAGGGCCCAGAGGCATAGAATCAATGAGTGGCTGAGGAGGCAGAGAAGGCAAAGAAAGATTTTGCTACTGTGCTGTTCCTGGGGCCAGGCAGGCAGAGCTTTCCTAAACTACAAAAGGCCAGTGCAGAGACCCTGGGAGGGGGCAGGCACCTGGTCAGGGAAATCCCCTTGGTCCCAGGTGCTGCTTTTCTGTTGCTGTGACCAGGCAGGCCCAAACATGGCACTTGCAGTGTGCTGGCCATGTTCACAAGCACTGTGGAAGGGAAGGCTGTCATGAGCCAGTAATGTAGGTGGTGAACCAGGGCTTGGGTTGGGGTGCTGCATCACCTGTCCAGAGATATATAGTGGTGGAGCTGTCACGGAACACTCTTGAGTAAGCCCAGAGCCCTGCATTCTCGTAACACCATGCTGCATCTCTCCATGGGGACCCGTGGAGATGCTGTAGGACTCTGCTTCTGCCTCTGTCCCTTGGGCCGGGACGCTGTCAGGGAAACCAGAGACTGGTGGCCTGTCAGAAGTACTCCATGTTAACATGAGTGCACAAAGGGGGAATGACAGAAACTCTCTTTGAAAGCCAAATAAAAGATAAATGTCAGCCTTGTCACCTAAAAGGGCAGAATTTGTTGCACTTGGAGGTCCATGTGGCCTGAGTGCAGTAAAACTCTGCTTTGCATTTAGGCGTGTTTATGAAACAGTAGGTAGGATCCTGTGGGTCCTGAAAGTGGTGTGCCACACACCTGGAAGGCACGATAAAAACCCTCCCTCGCCTTGCTAACATGGGCTGACGTGGAGGGCTTCCATTTTGTGTCACCAGTTCTTGTAAGAAATAATAATTACTGGTATTTTTTGGACCTTTTCTCCACAAATGCAAACTGTGCCAAGTGTTTCACATGCAGTGTCTCAGGTATTCACACCAACCCTGCAGTGTCTCAGGTATTCACACCAGCCCTTAGGGGTGAGTGCTGTCATGTCACGCTTCACTGAAAAGAAAGGAAGCAGGTCCTCGGAGGCTAAGTGATTTGCCCAAGGTCTTACTAACTGGTGAGTGGCAGGGATTCAACTGTGGTCTATCCAACCCCCAAAATCACACCGTTAAGTCAGTTCCAGCCTGTCTCTCTGTGCAGTCTTCTTAGCTGTTGTCAGTTGGTTCTCCATATTTTGGTGAGTGATTTTGGGATACATAAGCCCAAAAACATCCTTAAGCCTATTGAACAGATAGCCAGGATTTAATAAACATGCATAAAATCTGACATTTGAAACGATGCCTCATCCTGTGACCATGTTCTAGAAGTCAAACAAATCTGTCCCACACTTTGGGCAGGAGGTTAGAAACCACAGTGAAAGAGCAGGGTCCTTGTCACTGGTATATTCCATTTCCTTGATAGAACACTGCCCTGAAAGTTTACAACTTATTTCCCATGTTCTGAGCCCAAAGGTAACTTTTTTGTATATTCCAGGCATACCACATTAAAATAAATTGTACCGAAGTATGAAAGTTTGGAGACTTTAAAAGTTTTATTTCTTATGAAATTCATGTGCTATTAATATGTAACATATGTGTGTATATACATTTATATATGTTGGTATGGCAGACATTGGAAAATTTCATTTTCAAAATGCTGCTTATATTCATTACAGTCTTAAACACTGTTTTGCACATTCTTCAAGCATTCCATGGACCTCTTGAGTTCTCAGCCTATTATAATTTTGTTTTGCCCATTGTTGGAAAACTGACATCTACTCCAAAGAGTAGCAGGTAAGGGCCGTTCTTGGTCTTGCCCATTCATAGCCCCTGGTGCTAGTTATTCTGGATTAATCAAAGCAACCTGAACATCTACCTATACAAAAGTCAAACCCCAAAGTGAGGCAGAACCTGATCTCATTTCTGTTAGGTGCCCTGGTGGTTGAGGTGTGAGCCTGATAAGTCAGCATTTGTTTTCACAGCTGCTCTTACCTCCGCTGTTTGCCCAGTAGCCAGAAGAGCCTTCTGAGCTTGGGCACCCAGTGTGCCACCTACCATCAACAACTTTATTGGCTGTGCTCACCTCTTCAACTTTCAGCCCCAGTGCCAATTAAGGAGAACCTGACAGCATAGGAGTTGCATGTCATCCCTCTTGGTTTCAGCATTCTTGGGGATAGAGGAAGGAAAGTCCTTAAAAATTTTAGACCTCCTACTTGTGCTTTCAGCATGAGTGTTCAAGAAGAGAACAGTACATATTCACACTTGAGAGGAAGCATTCCAAACCAGCCAGAGTGTCTGATAACTTCTCCACGAGAAGGCCCAAGCTATAAACAAAGCCTGCCTCACCGATCCAGAGGACACAGCCATGCCTTACAAATTCCAGAGCAGCTATTCAAAACCTTGACAAGGCCTATAGCTGGAACATGCTCGTGGCCTCCACATTGTGGGAGGCAGAATAAGTCTTAGAATTGTCCTCAGAAGACTTCCATTGATGTGAGACCCCAAGGTAGGGGAGGCAGCCAATGTCCTTCACAAGTTTCCAGAAGTTCTTTCGAAACTTCAGGCTGACAAAGGCATAGAGCACAGGGTTAAGGCAGGCACGCAGGTATGCGATAGCCTCTGTCACTACGATGGCGTACTGAAAGCTGGTCATGGCATCGTACTCCCACTGTGTGCTGCGGATGAGCTTCACAAGGTTGAAGGGCGTCTGAGTCACCAGGAACACAGCCATCACCAGGAAGATGATCTTTAGAGATCTGTGCTTCTGGAAGCCTCGGGCGTGAAGCAGTGTTTTGATTATGACTGAATAGCAGACAATCATGGCGAGCAGTGGCAGGAAGAACCCCAGTGTCATCTGGGTGGCAAGAACCACAGTGGAAATCTCCTCATTATGGTAACCACATATGAGCTTGTCGAGATCAAAGACATTGCCATAGATGATTTGGGGCAAGGAAACCAGCAGGGATATCACCCAGATGAGCAAGGAGGTGACCTTGCCCCAGGTCAACCTCTTGGCTTGCTGGTTGTAGGCCTTGGTGGCCTTAACCACTGCAGTGAAACGATCCACAGTGATGCAGGTGAGGATGAGCATGGACGTGTAGAAGTTTATAGTGTAGATGCCCAGTAGGGTCTTGCACATGGCCTTGCCGAAGACCCACTCATGGATGCCTGCATAGGCCCAGAAGGGTAGAGTGCAGACAAACACCAGGTCAGCCAGGGGCAGGTTCACCAGGAACACATCCGTTAGGCTCTGCAGCTTATGGTAGAAGATGGATATGACCAGCACGAGGGAGTTCCCTACCAGGCCGCAGATGAACACCACCAGGTATGTGCAGGGCAGAAAGACCTTCTTGAACTGCAGGAAGTGTTGATGCTCCTCCCGGCTGCTCTCATAGGAACTGTTATAGTCTTCGTAATTGTACTCTGCCATGGTGTCTGTTCTAATGAACACCTATGAATAAGAACCCAGGAATTATATTTGGGGCTGAGGATGCCATTCTCTGTCTTTCTGCTGTCCCATTGACCACATTTAGGGGGGAAATAGTTGTCTCCTGAACTCACCCACTGGGATGTGTAGGAACAACACAGCAACAATATTGAAAATAGCCAATTCTGAGGGGAAATTGATCAGGCAGGACAAGGACTCTCCATTAGCCTGAAAATTCTCAGGATCTCACCCATCCAGGAGACAACTCATAACTGACCCCTAAGTACATTCCATAAAATCCTGTGCTCAAGTATTTTGAGAGCAAAAGTCGCCCTGCTGCCAGGTGGGCACAGTGCTCTTTGGAAAAGCAGCATGAGAATGGATGGTTGAGCCCATTGATAATCTGAGCTCATCAATGGGAAGTGCCTGTTTTCATCTCCCCCTGCCTCACCACAGCTACCCATCCTGAGCCCCGTTTCCTAATACATTGTGAAAGCTAAAGCCAGTGCCCCTGCCAGGGGGCTCTGCTATCAAGGAGACTCCTGGAGACCACAGATGTTTGGGGATGACAAGACTGCTCTGCTTGGGTAGGCAGTCCTTCCTGCCTTTACTTCCCCTCAATTGCATAGGTTTTCAAAGGCTACTAATGGGGAAACAAGGCACAAAAAAGCCCATAGCTGCGCAGCACTTTGGCTCAGCTGGCTTCATGGATAAAGCATTGGGTAGTTCTCCTCACTTCCCAAATAAACTTTCTCCTTTAGCATCTAACACAGTTTATGGCATTCCACCATCAAAGTCTCATTTCCTGAAGACTTCTGAGCAAGAAGTCTCTTAAAAGGTAGATTTCCCCAAAGGGGAACCTTGTCTTAGCTTAGGTGATTGTCAGGTTAGGACTTAGGGGCCTCCTTTAACAAGCAGAAGACTCAATTGAAATGGGGTACCAGATGGGCTGCATTTCTTACCCAGGGATGTCACTTTTCTCTGACCCTTCCCTCTGCCCTGTGACCCTGCCAAAGACCACGGACAGGACAAAGGGTCATGTAACCTATGGTGTGGGAGCAGGAGCAGCTGCAGTAGCATCAGCCCATGAGTGCCCTTGCTACTGACCTGCAGATGCTCAACATGCAGCAGCTCATTTCCAGTGACCTGGAGCCATGTCTGGCCAGCACCTCAAGAAGGTGTGTGAAGAAGGGCAGGTGTTTTGATAGAATCTCTGCCAAGTTTAGCAAAGTCAAAATATTGCCTGACCAGACAAGGACATATAAACAATGAGGTTACCTCTCCTAATCGACTCAGAAACACTTCTGTCCGTGACATTGAGTCCTGACTGGGAACAGTGTCTCTGATGCTGCTGCTTGCCTCTGTCTTTCCAGGGGCCAAAGTGCCCTTTCTCTCTAGCAAGGAAGGATGTTGCCTTTGGGCTAAGACTGTTTAATAAATAATCCTTGCCCTTCGACCACAGTTGTTAGATCTCTAAGGGAGATAAGTCAGCCAGTAGACATCCTGCCACCCACAAGCTTTCTGGGGTACTATATTGAGTAGGTAAGATAATGTGTATGTGTTATTGATTCACACAGGCAAAAACAGATTTTCATAATTTAAAATATGAAACAGGTGGCTTTGCTCTTAAGAATAATATCCAGCTCCCCATTATTGCTTGACTTGCCCTTGCCTTTTTTTGATATCCTCCTGTTCCAGCTTTTGGTGGTCCCTTATGCTGCTATTACGCATTTCCTCAAAGGACCTGTGCCAATTCATGTGTAAGAATTGGTAAACTTTGTTATGTAGTAATTGGTAAACAGATTGGGCCTGGACAGTGCTGTGCAAATAGAGTATTAAAAATTACTTTCTCTTCTAGAAGAGGCCAAAAATATTCATTTATTTATCTTCTGTAATCAAAATCCTATTTTGATTTCTGCAAATCAAAAAAATACATATACAACTTTGGAAATAGTGTAAAAGTCTGATAATAAATGATGAAGCAAATTATAATTCAGACAGAATATGACTTAAATGTTTAGGAAGTATTTTTAACAATTTTGGGAAATGTAATGCAGTTAAATTGCTAAAAACAGTGTAAACACAAAACAAATATGCAAAGTAAGTGTTATCTATTACTGTTACAACAAACAGATGTCAAAAATGATATAAAATTGTGATTCTTAACCTTTTTTGACCGTAAACTCTTTTGAGAATCTCTTAAAAACTGCAGACCTTTTCTCAGAAATAATGCGCATGCACGTGTGTGCACACACACACACACACATACACCCCTCTGCAATTCTGGGAGTCCATGAACCTCTTGAATCCCTCTGCCATGTACTCTGAACTCATTTAAGAGTTCATGATAAACTATATGATTTTGACTGTACTTTTAAAAACCTGGAAAAAATGATCGCATTTTATTAGAAGTTGGCCTTCAGCTGAGGGAATTATGGGTGACCTATTTCTTCCTTTTTTTTTTAATAGTTCCCAAAGTTTCTACAGTAGTGCATTGATTTATAATGAAAAAAGAACATAAATGATAATCTGAGAAAACAGCCTGTCTTAGGCAAAAGAAATGAAAACAGAAATTATTCATTGAGCAAATATAGGCACTAACTAGAGTCGCCCTATCTCCCCAGGTGTATCTGACTATGCCATTGCTAGCAGTACCATCAGCCTACAGGCACTAACCGTGTGCCCAGAACCATGTTCGCTGTTTTTCATGTTTCTCCAATTTAACCCATACGGTAGCAGATGGCAGTGATGGAGTTTGAACTAAAAGCAGTTGAGCTCCATAGCCTGGCATTTTACACTGTGCCCCACTACAGACAGGAATCTGAGAATACCAACAATCCCTGGAGCTAGTCCTCCCTGTCTTCTTTTAAGTATAAAGAGTAAGACAAATGACTCACCGGCAGAAATGCTTGGTCGGTTTGTTCCAGAGATGAGCTTGCTCACAAAGCAAGGTCTGCCTCTACTTCTGTGATGTGGTTCATGTTTCCGCTGAACCTTTTTAAAGAGCCCTCAGCTGGTTATACACGAGACCCATCCCTACTCCCGTCTTTTAGTTTTGAATCCACATGATCAGCCCTCCCCTGTGTAATGCGTGGGTCAGTCAGAGATGGATGGGTGACTCTGATACCCCATACCCACTTCATTCTGCCTCGGGGCTGATTCTTCTGTCAGAGCATGACAGGGGTTTTATTTTTAAACTAAAGGGGAACAATAAGGAAGTTTGGCTCTGGCCATCCACTGAAGATGGTAGCATTGGTACCTTAAAATTACTTAATTCATGAGTCAGACGTCTTTTTGGAACAGTTGAGGCCTGGGCCAGTGCTGAGTGCATGGCTGGGTTCTGCGTGCACATGCAGCTCCAGCATATGTGATAGCGGTTTTGCCCCATAGCAGCCCTGCAGTGGATATTATCTCTCTGTTATAGATGAGAACACCGAGGACCATAGCTAAAATAACAGTCCCCAGTCCACACAGCTAGAAACTGGCAAATTGAAGATACACACTTAGGTCTGTGTCATTACCAGACCAATGAACAGGATGATGATGGGTCTGCCAGAGGTCCTGGTGCAGCCCCACCTCCTAAGCCCACACCTCTCAGGCCCCTCAGCAGGCAGTGCCCACCAACCCTGCCTAGCCTGGCTGGAATCATCTGGTTTCCTTGGTCTGCCCTCCCTACTCCTGGAATTCCCCAGATGTTGACGACTTTTATCTCAGTACAGTTCTAGTTGTCAGCCTCCATGATCTAACATTACTGACCCTTCTGGGAAATAACGGTGGAAGACAGGAATTGGGGGCATGTCTGCTTTCCTAGAAGTAGCTGACCTCTTGTGGAGGTGCCTGGCCTCCCTTCTCTGACTGTGCACTGCCATTCAGGCTGCATCTCCCCAGTGCTATTGCTTTCTCTACCACCTGCTAGGTGGACCTTCTCATGTGGCTCTTCCTAAGGGCAAATATCAAGCATTGGGAGCAAGGACCAGGAGCAGCCTCAGGATCCAGAGACTAACACTCAGTTCTACTGCAAGCTTGGCCCTATGCTGGATGCTTCTGTGTACAGCCATCTAATCCTAATCACTTACAGATAGGCAGACAGAAGATTAGAGAGATTAGCCCACTTGCCTAAGAACACACATCCCCAGCGGTCACCCAGTACTGTCTGACTGCAAAGCCAATGCTTCCTGTTCTGCTCTGTGTATGGAGCTGTGATAACAGATCTGAAGACCTCTAGTAGGTTTGCAGGCATTTTTTCAGTGAATTAGTTCAGACTATCCTTTCTACCAAACTGGTACAAATGAGTGAGGTGTTCCTTATGGGCATGAACCATGAGGCTGCATAGACTGCATACCAATGGACAGATGGATGCAGGGAGTGGTGAATGAATGAAAAAAGGAATAGACTGAGCCAAATAGATCCCTGTCTTTCTGAAAGAGACCTTTCAAGGCAGGATGGCAATTTAAAGTAACCCTGCCTAATATTTAGGAATCTTTAAGCTTTGAGGGCTGAGTTTTACCTAGGTACAAGTCAACCATGCCATTCAAGACAGGTCCATAGAGCAGTATTAGAATGGCCTGAGCCTCATCAGACACCCTTGGCCATGCTATTCTTAGCAAGCCTTTCTACTCCATGGGGAAAACAGGCTGGCACCTAGAGCCCTACATGACTGTGTATACATGTTCATATGGAAATATTTGAGAAAGCATGGCTTATCATGGCCATTCTTTAATGGAAACTTCTCTGTAGTACAAAAGACTTGCAACTAAATTTGAGGAGCTGAGCTACTCACAGGTTCGGGGCTAAAATTTTATTTTACAAAATGTCTTTTATTTACAAAATGCCTTTTATTGTCTGCCAGTTTGTAGTGTTAATTGTCTAAAGGGTATTACTTTTATTTGAAACAAAACTTTAAACTTCTTAAGGGTGGGTACCCAATCATATGTGTCTTAGATTTCCCCAGAAATACCTAAATATTTTCTAAATAAAATTGGGGTAAGAGTAAAAGGGAAGTGCAGACATACCTGCTGCAGGTTTATCTTGGAAGTCAGGCTGTTGGCCTGCTCTCCTTTCCCGCACATTGCAGAGCTGCTAAGTTATCTGTTCTAGGATTCAGATGAGACATTTACTGCTCTGGTGGGAGCAGAGCTACTATGGCTGAGAGGTATTGATCTGGGGATTGTTAATAAGCAGGAGAGCAGGAGAAGGAATCCACGTATTGAAGTTGACTACCTCCAGCAGAAGAAGGTGAGGTGTAGAAGTGTCTTACCAATAGGAATTATGTATCTGAGTCACGGGCGCCAGAGTATGTTAGCAGCAGCAAATCCATGTGGGTCTGCAGCAACTCGAGTCTTGCCTCCTTGGAGGAAAGAATTTGGCCAAGGGGCAAAAGTAGGTTTAAGGCAGAGGGAGAGATTGAGGCAAGTTTTAGAGCAGGAACAAATGCAAGTAAAGTATACTTGGAAGAGGGCCAAACAGGTGACCTGAGATCTGAGTGCCCCGTCCAGCCCATGATGTGAGGTTCTTATACACTGGCATGGTTCCAGGCTTTGTGTTTCTTCTCCCTCGACCCTTCCCTTAGTGCAAGCTGTCTGCAAGCCTGGAGGCTTGCCAGCACTAGGGGCTGCATGGTCAGTGTGTTTACTGGAGTTGTATGCATGCCCACCTGAGGTGCTTTTCCCTTACCAGTCGAATGTTTCTAGAGGACTGGCTAAACTGCCATTTTGCCTGTTAGTGTTCATCCTGTGCCCACCCGCCCAGCTCCTGAGATCTTACCAGGACGCTGCTGGTTACCAGCTTCAGATGTTTTCTATCTATTGGAAGACTTTCTCTGGCTCTGGCTGCAACCAGTTATTTTAGAGAGACAGTTTAACAATTGCCCAACCATTACTTGCTGGTCACCTGACATTCCTGGGGGAGGGAGGCCCTCTCGTGCCTTGCTCATGTCTGCCTAGCTACCTACTCTTAACACTAGGAATTTATAAGCAATGGATTGGCAAAGTAAAATCAAGTTAATACAATAATAATAAATCGATAGCAACATTAAAAGATGCCCCCAGATCACAGAGTGAATGTGATGTGTGTGGTGTGGTTCAGCCCAACCTTCCAAACCTTCTCTGGTCTGTGGAGCCTTCTGCTGTGAGAGGCCTGTGCTGTACCTGCACTGACCACAGTGGCCACCAGTCCAGGTGATAACTGAGCACTTGAAATGTGGCTAGTGCAACCAAGGAGCCAAATGTTTAGTTTAATATATGAATTTAAGTTTATATAGCCACATATGGCTAGTGGCTATTGTATTGAAGAGTACAGTTCTAAACTGAAGTCACCTCCACTTCACGGCAGACTGTTCACAGATGGAGGCTGACCAGAGGGACAAGAGGAGCCCGTGCAATCAGAAAAAGCAACACTTCTCACTCTGCCGGGCTTAGCGAGGCTGAGGGGAGATGGCGCCCTCTGGGTAAGATTGGCAGCAAGGCACCTTGGGCCATAGGGGTTTTCCAGGCGTCCGTTCCTCCCTCTGCTAGTTTCTAAACAAGCGGAAGATCTGTACTGCAGGCAGCCTGCAGGATTAAAGTTGTGTGGTAATTACATAACAAGCAAGCTGAGGCCATTTGATTTGTGACTGGGAAGGACTATAGACTCCGTTTGTAGAGACCAAGCTGGAGGGGCTCCACCGTGATTCACGCAGAGAGATGTGAACTCTAGGACTGCAGTGCCCGGGACTGCCTGGTTTGTGCCCAACACTTTATCCTGACTCGCTCCTAATGCGGAAGCCTTGGGTATGTCCTCCTTTGGGAGCATTTGGGACAGAAGAAAACCTTACTCTGAGACAAATAATGTAGACATTCACTGGGCGTGGGCTGTGTGCACAGCAAGGTGCCCAGGCATGCCAGGGTGAAACCCGCAAAGGGACAGACAAGTTGACAGACTGGAATATGTGTTCTAGAGATATTCAGCTCCACTGACCACAGGCTCCTGCAGAAACTGAGAAGGAAAGGGTGGCATGCCATCAGCCAAGCTAGCAGTAGGCTGCCATGACCAGAGCAAGGGGAGGAGGAAGGCTTTGTGGGCAGTGAGTATCTTATCTTTGCTGATTCTGCCTCAGTAGCAAGGAAAGGAAGCAGCTCTAGTAGGGGGTGGGCTGCCCTCTAGTGATCATGCTTTGGTTGCCATCCTTCTCAAGCTCTTACATCCCTTGGTATTCTGAGTTGCTGGAACATTTTCTAGGGCATCCCACAGTAAGAAATACATCTTACGTGGCTACCTAGTGTGCATGTGTATACACATACGGTCAAAACAAGCCTCATAAGTACTTACCCTCGTAACATGCAATATACTATTGTATTTTCTATTTTATTCTAAATGTTGGTCATAACCTACTAAATTGATTCACAGCCCAATAAATGGATAATGACCTGCAGTTTGAAACCCTATTGAGAAGAAAGCCCTCTGCCCTAATTGTTACCTTTGAGACTGCATCACCCACCCATCTCACTCCCACGTCACTCATGTAGCGTGTCCACCAGGGCCAGCAAAGGTCTGGGAAACCTGCTCTGTGAATCGTCTGCTTGTCTGTCATCAGGCAGTCTGTCATCACTGTGGTCAGAGAGGAGGGTGATAGATGAAGAGAGATCATATGTTAGGATATCTTTTATCCTGAATGCAGGAAAATTGGGAGAACCAACTACAGCTTTCAGAGTCTCATCCTACATTATCTCTTTATCTCGTTTATGGTATTTGCCTTGGACAAGGATGAAAGCAGGCCTGAGTGACCCTGGCCTGTCTGCTCTGGACCTCTGCTTCCCTGTTACCGAGTGGGTGGTTGCACGAGCTGGCTCCTTGAGCAGCTTCTTGCACTGATGTTCCCTGTTTCTGTTCGTCCCAGGGTGAGGTTGGGGGCCTGGAAACCAGTAGCTGGAAAAGCAAAAAGAAGGAGGTGTTAGGCAAGGAGGAGGACAGAGAGGGGGCTGAGGCCAGGGAGAAAAAGAAACACCAAAGTGACAAATCATGCCCCCGGTGGCAGCAGGTGCTGCAGCCCACATTCTTCCTGCACCTTCCCTGAGAAGAGCACGGGAAGCTGCAGGCAGGAAGCTGCTTACCAGAGCAAGCCCACCTCTTTCTCAGTCAGTGGGCTCCATAAAGTGCTACCTCTGAGTCCTTTAAGATGTACAGCCTTTTCAAGCCATCAGAACCCAGAGTCCATCCAGTTCCATCTCCTTCCATTTAGAGAAGGGAAACCGGGGTCTCAGGAGGAAAGCGCTCACCGTGAGCCACATAGTTAGTCACAGTGCTGAAGCTGAAATCATGATGGACCCCACCACAGTCATACCACCTCCCCTGCCCTCGGGGGCCACAGAGACCTCCAGCTAGACGGAGCCCCCCACTGCTCAGGGCTGGTGGCATTCAGCTCCTGGAAGAACATGGATTGTTTCAGCATTTTGAAAAGAAGCCACACTGAGTGGGAGATCTTCCGCATTAATGCCAGCACAGGAGGGCAAGCATTAGTTTTGGAACTAGGTTTCCTCTTTGTCAGAACTGGGGAGTGGAGCTGGTTGGGCTCTGAGGCACCTGAGATTGTATAAGCACCTGGCTGAGCTGAGCCTGGGGTCCCACAGGGAGAGCACTCAGTTGCTGTCAGGGTATAGTTCTGCCTCCAGCCCTGCCTCTGAGGAACTGCCTGGGCTTCTGTGTCCCCATCAGTGAAGTGCAGGGACTGCAATCTGCCAATATGTTCCAAGGATCAGTAACTGAGACGGTGTTAAAAACCTCCCCTGGGTGCCTGTTCTTGTGCCTCAGGGATGGGCCAGAGGCTTCTCTAGTCATGCACTGGCACTGAGAAGGCAGGACCCAGTGGCGCTGGTACCTTGGCCCTGTGGCAACAGCTCTGTTGGCGTGGGCTAGGAAAGTGGTTGATTTGTGATTCCACTCACCGTCTATAGCAGAAGGTCTCTTCCCTACAGCTGCTCCAGGGAAACTGCTGTAGCCCTATTGTCTTCTCCCTGTCCACTTGCTTGGCCCTAGCCCCTGCGGCCCTCCCTCTACTCACAAAATCTGCTGGGGCCTCTGTCACGGCCTCTGCGATTAAAGGATTCTCCATGCACCTGAATTTGGCTACATGACTCCAAGACTGTGGACCCCAGGATGTGAGACCCTGTGTGTTGATAGCTAAATGTCTGTGTTCTCATTTGTGGCATTTCAGGGACACTACATCAACCTCACTAACGCCTGAGGACACTGAAGACATGCCCGTGGGGCAGGATGCAGAAATCTGCCTGCTGAAGTCTGGAGAACTAATGTAAGTGGCAGCTGCTGCCTGGTTTGGCGTTGGAGGAGCACTGGCCTCTCCAGTGCCAGCACTGGGGACCACCCCAGGGGCTCTGACTTGAAACCAGTGAGGCTTCAGCTTATGCCTTTTCTTCAGGTATAGCTTATATACATTAAGATTCAAGCAAGTATACAGTGCCTGAATTTTGATGAATGTTACAGTGTAATCACTACCACAGTTAAGATATAGAACAGTTCCCTCACCATGGAAAGTTCCCCGTGCCCCTTTATAATTATTCCTCCCACACCCCATGTTCTTTTCTCAAAATATCCCGTTAATTTTCTTATCGTAAGAGCAAAACACTTTCATTGTAAAAAATTAGGAAAATAGAGATAAGCAAAACACTTTGATATATAGCGCTCTAGTCTTTTTTATACACATACACACATATAATTTTTAACACAAACAAATATTCTAAATCTTATTTTGTAGTCTCTTAAAATTTGCTGTAGCATGAGTATTTTTCCCTATCATCGAGTTCTCTAGTGTTATGTCCACGGGCTGCATAATTGTCATTGAATAGATTCAATCATTCATTCACAGATATCTATTCATTAGCTGTGAGGTACCAGGTACTGTTTTAAGTGCTTAGGGTATGTCAGTAAACAAAACCAACAAAGACCCACCCCTAACCCTCATCAAGCTTACATTTCAGCAAGGGTTGATAGACGATAAACTATACACATAATTAATCAAGTCAATATTGTATCGATGTTGCAAGGTGGTGCTTGCTATGGGAAAGGTAAAGTAGGGTAACAGGGAAGGAGAATTTGCCATTTTAAATAGAGTGACACTGAGAAGATAAGACTTGAGGGAGGTGAAGGAGTTGCCAGGCATATATCTGAGGGAATAGCATTTCAGGCAAAGGGAACAGGCAGCACAAAGGCCCTGAGATGGTGCCTGGCATGTTCAGGGACTGAGAAAAGGGCCAGTGTGCCTGCAGCAGAGAGAACCAGGAGGCGGAGTCAGAGTGGGAATGAGGGTCCCAGCACACAGGGCCTTGTCGGCCATTGTAAGGACTTTGACTTTGAATCTGAGGGACATGGGACCCCCCCAAATGAGGTTTGTAGCATTAAGAGTGATTCGATCTAATTTACATACGAAAAAGGATCATTCTGGTTGCCATGGTGGAGAATAGATGATGGAGGGCAAGAGCAGAAGAGGGGAGAACAGTTGGGAGGGTATTAGAGGAATCCTTGTTCCTTGGACCAAGTGTTGGCAGAGAGGACAAGGGCAAATTCTGGGCCTATTTTGAAGATCGTGCAGACGGAATTTCCTGACGGGTTAGATGTGGTTGTGAGAGAATAGATAACCCATTCCAGCAGTTCTCAGGTGACCCTGGACCACACTCAGACAGACACTATGTTCAATTATGGGGTAGACCGAGCAGGAAGAATTAAGTAGCCCCCTCACAAGCCGTTGATGCTGGGGAGTATGAAGTGTCAGGGCCACCCTTTCTGGAGAGCACCGTGGCTGCAGGATGTACCAAAAGTTCAAGAATTGCATTTTCCCTATGATGCAATAAGCCTACATCTGGGAAATAATGACTAGATGTGCAAAGATAAAGCTACCAAAATGTCCCTTGCATGCTACTCACAGCAGTGACAATTAGAAATAGTAAAAGAGAACTTGAATGATTGTGAATGGCTGTTGAATTTTGTCAGATCTTTTTTCTGTGTCAGTTGATAAGATCATAGGCTTTTTCGTCCTTAGCTTGTTGATATGATGGATTGCATTGATTGACTTTCAAATATTGAACCAGCCTGCGTACCTGGGGTAAATCCCACTGGCTGTGGTGTATAATTCTTTTCACAGCTGGATTTGGCAAAATGTCTAAAGAATGTTTTGCCAGATACAGAATTCACAGTTGACAGTTCTTTTCTTTCAGCATTTGAAATGCGTGTGCCGCTACCTCCCTCTGGCCTCCATGGTTTTAAATGAGAAGTCCCCTGTCATTCAAATTGCTATTCCCCCATAGATAATGTTATTTCTCTCTACCTGCTTTCAAGTTTTTTCTTTGTCTTTTTTAATATTTTTTTTTACTTTTTTATTCTTTTATCATACTTCAAGTTCTGGGGTACATGTGCAGCATGTGCAGGTTTGTTACATAGGTATACACATGCCATGGTGGTTTGCTGCATCCATCACCCCATCATCCATATTAGGTATTTCTCCTATTGCTATCCTAACTCCCCACTCCCTTCTAACCCTCCCCTAGACCCCACTCCCCAACAGGCCCCAGTGTGTGATGTTCCCCTCCCTGTGTCCATGTGTTCTCATTGTTCAACACCCACTTATGAGTGAGAACATGCAGTGTTTGGTTTTCTGTTCTTGTGTCAATTTGCTGAGAATGATGGTTTCTAGCTTTGTCCATGTCCCTGCAAAGGACATTTGAGCAAAGAGTTCATGACTAAAACACCAAAAGCAATGGCAACAAAAGTCAAAATAGACAAATGGGATCTAATTAAACTAAAGAGCTTCTGCACAGCAAAAGAAACTATCATTAGAGTGAACTGGCAACCAACAGAATGTGAAAAAAATTTTGCAATCTACCCATCTGACAAAGGGCTAACATCTAGAATCTACAAAGAAGTTAAATAAATTTACAAGAAAAAACCTCATCAAAAAGTGGGTGAAGGATATGAACAGACACTTCTCAAAAGAAGACATTTATGTAGCCAACAAACATAGGAAAAAATGCTCATCATCTCTGGTCATTAGAGAAATGCAAATCGAAACCGCATTGAGATACCATCTCATGCCAGTTAAAATGGTGATCATTAAAAAATCAGGAGACAACAGATGCTGTAGAGGATGTGGAGAAATAGAAACACTTTTACAATGTTGGTGGGAGTGTAAATTAGTTCAACCACTGTGGAAGACTGTGGCGATTCCTCAGGATCTAGAAATAGAAATTCCATTTGACCCAGCAATCCCATTACTGGGTATAAACCCAAAGGATTATAAATCATTCTATTATAAAGACACATGCACACGTATGTTCTTCGTCTTTTGTTCTTAGAAGCTTAATTATGATGGGGCTTGGTGTGAATTTCTTTGAGTTTTTCCTATTTGGGGTACACTCAGCTCTTGAATCTCTAGGCTTATACCTGTTGCCATATTTGGAAAATATTTTTGAATATTTTGAATAGTTTTTCAGATGCACTCTATTTTCCCTCTCCATTTGGGGCTCCAGTGATACAAATGTGAGCTCTTTCGTCCTTGTCTCGCGGGTCTCTGAGACTCTGTTCTTTTTCCTGGCACCCCGCCTCCCAATTCTCTTTTTCCTGTGTTGTTCAGGTTGAGGAATTTCTGTTTTTCTCTCTTCAAGTATAACTGTCATCTTCATTCAGCTATTGAGTGTCCAGTGATTTTTTTTATTTTGGTTATTATAATTATTTAGTTCTAAAATTTCCATTTGGTTCTTTTTTATATCTTCTGTTTCTTTGGTGTGGTTTTTCTACTTTTTTTTATTGTTTCAAGAACATTTAAAATTGTTGTTGAAGCATTTTATGATGGCTGCTTTAAAAGCCTTGACAGATAACTCCAGCATCTGATGGATGTCAGTCTCGGCTTCTGTTGATTGTCTTTCCTCATGTACGCTGTGATTTTCCTGGCTCTTAGGATAATGAGTGTTTTCGTGTGATATGTAGGCGAGGGGCTCAGAGACACTAAGCTGTTGTGATTTTCCTCGTGTTCTGGGGGTCCTTAGTCACTCCGCCTTCCTTCTCCTGCCCTTCACTTTTACTGCAACTGCTGAATTATTATTTTTGGGGTTTTTTAGTGGCAGTTAATGGGAAAGAACAGGGAGATGTTTGAAATCATGTATAATAAAACTTTTTTTAAAAACCTGCCCTCAAGTAAAGGGATGAGGAAAGTTAGGAGATTTAGAATAATTAGAACACATCCCACCTGATTTTGGTAAGCAAAAAAAAAAAAAAGAAATTAAAAAAGGAATAATTAGAACACACAGATCCAAGGCAGATCCTTTTCACATTTGTGACATGAGCCTTATAGACAATAGGCGTCTTAAGATTACATTATATTTGAGCAAACCCTTGATTTGTTTTTGCTAAGCTCTCCTTTGGAGAGGCCGAGTATTGTCCTTGTCACTGAATAGATGATGTCTAGAATACATGATTGGGGCACAATCCAAATACCTGGGTGCCAGGAGAAAATTCTGGAGCATAAAATGGTAAAATGCCCCAGCATCAATGGGGCATGATATCAAGTAAATGACTTTTTTTGTGGTAATATGTTAAGATTTCCACGTTATGAGAAAGGTGTCTTTTCCAGAATGGACCCCCGCACCCACCCTCAGATTCTTGAAAATTGTAAATATTGGTTGAGGGCTCTTAATCAGAAATAAACCCTAACACACAGAGACATATTGTGTTGAATTGAATTCTCACAAAGGTGAGTATTGGAGCTGTTCTTTAAAGATTCTGGTTTTTAAATCGTTTCTTGCCCTTCTCATTAGCTTTGGGGAGTCTGTCCATTCATCTCCACAGCTTTGGAGGCAGATGAGCCCTCAGCACCACCACTTGCTGTGCAGTCTTGGGCAAGTTCCCTAACCTCTTTGAACTTTAGTTCCTGCCCCTGTGTTAAAGGGGACAGTAATACATTTTCTCCACAAAGGCAGTTGGTATGGTAGAAAGATGATGGCTTTGGCTCAGACCTGTGTGAGCCTGGATTGAATTTCTTAATCTGTTTGCATATTAGTTTCCTCTTTTGTAGAATGGCAATAGTGATGCCTTCCTGAGGGAGCCAGTGCAGTAACACATGAAATTGTTGAGCATAGGGCATGGCCTATGGTGGCTGCCACCTTCCCATTTCACAGTTGAGAAACTGAGGCTCAGAGTGAGTTGACTCACCCAAGGCCACACCGCTCCTAAGTTGCAACTCTTCCCTGGAGGCCCTGTCTCCATGATTGTGAGCTAACCTAGCTGCCTCGGGAGTTGCACAGTGTAGGAGGGGTACCACTCAGCCTGGAAGGGGCCCCGAGGAGCAAGCTCCCCGGGTTCATCTTGTAATCTAGTCCTTGCAGCAGTCATGAGGCAGGCCTGGTTGTCCCTGTTTGGCAGATGAGGAAACTGAGGCTTTTGAAAGGATACGCCCTGCAGCAGGGATGCAGTTTGGCCACCCACCTCACGTTCTTCACGTCATACTCTGGGTCCAGCACAGAGGAGCTCACTGTCAGTGAACCCTGTAAACTTCTTGAAGAAGCTTTTATCTACCCAAGGAGAGTAAGAACAAGCTTCTCTTCCCAACACCATTGTATCACTTCCGCCACCCTGCATCATAAAGAGTATGGGATGTTGGCATTTGAGGGAAGGTCAGGGTGCCCATGTGGAATCTTACAATGGATGCGAGATGCACCTGAGAAGAGGGACTATATCTAAAGGGCGGGAGGCTTGTGCTGATGAGGTGAAAAGGGTGAGGCAGGGAACTGGAAGGAGAAATGGCAGAGAGAAAGCAGACGGCTGAGCAGGAGGGCACCTTCGAGAGAGCAGCAGAAAGCTGCACCTCGGCACTCACTTCCTGTCCATGAGGGACATGGAGCCGGTCAGGCCATCCTCAATTCCTTAGTTCTCATGGGCTTTCAGCTCCACACAGGCAAGGATGTCGTCTCTATTTTTTACTGCTGTGTCATCAGTGCCTAGAACTATGCCAGGCGTGTAGTAAGCACTCAGGAAACATTTGTTGGAGTGAGCTGCCTGTCCCATACTTAAGCATGTTGGCCAGGGTTACCCGGCACATGTCCTCTCAAGAGCCTCCGAAGTCTCCAGCCACCTCTGAGCCACAGACGACCTGGCCAGTGGACACAAACACTTTGCCCGTCAATCAGGTCCTTCTCTGTATTTTTATTTTAGGATCAAAGTACCCCTCACAGTGGAAGAGATCGCCAGTTTCGGGGAGGGCAGCAGGGAGCTGTTCGTGAGATCCAGCACCTACAGCCTGATCCCCATCACTGTGGCCGAGGCAGGCCTCACCATCAGCTGGGTCTTCTCCTCTGACCCCAAGAGCATCTCCTTTAGCGTGGTCTTCCAGGAGGCCAAGGACACACCACTGGATGAATGTAAGGTATGGCTGGGCTCCCTGCCTGTGGGTTCCTTCACACATCTGGGTACTTGGGCAGGCCTTTTCCAAAGCAGGGCAGTGGCCATCCCACTCTGCTGGGCAGGCCTCACCTGGAATGTTCTGGGCCGTGTCATGCAGAGAAGGTAGAGCACTTGGGCCTTGTCCAGTTTGGGGAGAAAAAGACCCAGAGGTTCTGGAGAGCTGTTTTCAAATGTCTGAAGGTCACACTGTCAGACACAGGTAGTCTGCCCTTGGGATAGACGGGTAGGTGAAAGAGGAGTACAGACATATGACTCAATTTAAGGATCATTTTCTAATAGAACTGTGCAAAACAGGAATGGGTCACCATCTCTCTTCCTCTGATTTTTAGCTTAGGGTGTTCAGCATCTCCACGGAAGGTTATCAGCAGAGACAACCCCAGTGTCACTTGGGTGGTCGAGCTTGAAATCTTGGTGGCAGGTATCAATTCATAAATTCCTAAGACATTCTAGGCATGGAATGTTGACAGTGCCAGGACTGTAGTTCTCAACCTTGGCTGCAAATTAGAAACACCTAGAGAGCTTTTAAAAACTCCACTCCTGAGGCCACACCCTGACCACTAAGTCGGAGTCTCTAGGGGTGGGATCCAGGCATCTCCAAGTGATTCCAATGAGCGGCCCAAGTTGAGAACCACTGGTATAGATTAGGGGGTTGAAGCCAGAGTAGAAAGGATGGAACCCAGATCACAGGGACAGAGGTTGGGCAGGGCTCCGTGGGTGGCTGATTCAGTACGAGGCTAGGAGGAGGGAGGCCCATGCCTGGGGTCTGAATTCCATGCCTGCATCTCTACAGAGAAAGGGTGTAGAGGAATATTGGAAGGAGAGCCAGTTTGGATGGAAACACAAGTTCCACTTGAATTATTCTGAGTGGAAGGAATGGTAAAAGCAGTTGGGCCTGCTGGACTGGAGCTGAAAGGGAAGCCCAGCCTGGGAATATGACTACAGAAATCTCCATTTTGCAAGAATTGCAAGGATCAAGATAGAGAAAAGCAAGCTGAAGTCATGTGAAACAAGAGATCTGTGAAGTCTTTGCAGGACTGTTAGTCCCTTGTGTGTTTGGTCTACTGCGTGCCCTCAGGGGGCTTGAGGCTGAGGGATGAGGAAGGCCCAGAGCAGGAGAGCCCAGCTAGGAAGCACGGTGGGCCACACAGCAGTTCCTTCTCTGGTGCTGGCATCCCACAGAGGAACATGTACCCGCTTGGGTTTGCTCTCCTGCCATCCTGCCCTGTTGGAATCTGCTCATTGCAAGGATCACTTTTGTCATTTCTCTGCTTTTCAGACTCACTCTCAAAATGTAACTCTACTCCCTTGGGTTGGCCTTGCTTATTGGAGTCTTGTGTTCTCTCATTTAAAACTGCTCTGCCCATCTTATCCTTTTGGGACTTACAGCCAGCTCCACATACCTACCTCCAGAGCCCTTCCTTCTTGAGTGATTCTGAGCCTCCATCCAGGAGGTCCTGGCGCAGCCAGCATGCCTATCAGCTCCACACTGACAAACGGCAGCGCTGCCAACAGTTGCCCTTGCCTCTCACCCTCACGTTCCTCAGCCCTGCCGTGCCCCCAGCCCTGAGTCCACCCTGATCAGACACCGTCAGTGTTTGTGCAGGGAGGGAAGGGACAAAATCAGGGATCCAGGCCTTTGCTGTTCTGCCTGCCCACATGTGGCTGGGCTGTGGGCCTCTCCTTGCTCAGTCCCTACCCACCGATTCTTCAGCAGCCTGGGGTTCCTGTGTGGGTCTACCAGGAAACAGGACCTTGGGGATCTACTGAGCCTTCCTCATCTCTAGCTTCCAGGGGGCCCCACTGCCTTTCCCCACAGTGACGCCAGGGGGCAGAAGGGGCCCCTGTACAGGGTGCTCAGGTGCTTCTCTGCCTTCACAGGCCACTGTCACCAGCCACAGATGGGAGTGGCTGTTATCTCTGCCTGACATCCCCCAAAGAAACCAAGGCCAGGGAAGCCTGTTTCCAGACATGTGCCCTCAATATCTATCCCAGGGACTCTCCGGGTGCTCTCCTGACCAGCCTGGGGCTTATAGGAAATGACAGGTGCAGTGTAAATTGCAGCACTCAGGCTTCATGATTATGGAGGAATAGACACAAGGAACTGTGCTGTGTATTTGTAAACTATTGATAACCTTTTATTGAGTGTCTGCTGTATACTGGACTCTGTAGGCCCCACAGGGGATAGAGAGATGAAGGAAGTGAGACACCATCTTAAAAAAAAAAAAAAAAGGAAAAAAATGTTGGTTGGTTGGTTGGCTCTGCCTTATCTCTTAGCATATTTTCAGTTTTAAAATAAGGCCTGTGTCTTAGCTTGTAAGCAGACTGAAGAGCCTGCCCTCATGGGGAAGAAGTGAGCCATTCAAAGACCTCCCCTACCAACCCTGGCCCTGTCCAACACATACCATTTGTACAGATTTTCTCTCTGACAGTGAGGCCCTTCAAAAATGATCTGGAAAAAAGTCACTGTCAATGTCTCCTGGGACTAATTTCTCATTCTCAGGGAAGGCAGAGAGTGAACAGGAGGCTGAGGCTCAGATGTGGGAAGATGAAAGGGTGCTGGGGCGCATGGACCAGCCAGGGCACAGCCAGCAGAGAGGCCTAGGTGGAGCCAGGGGTGTCGAGCCTAGAGGAGAGGGGACCTAGCAGCTTTGTGCCTGGAAGGTTGTCATCTGGAAGGAGGACTCAGCCTGTCCTGTTGAGACCCAGGGGCAGCACGAGGACCAACAGGAGACAGCCAGACAGATGGATCTTACCTAGACTAAGCTTCACATCCTGAAGCCAGAAAGGGGCCTCTCCTTTATAGTCCATGGAATGTTCTAGCATCTTCTGTGTTCAAGGCTAGGGGATCACTCCTTAAGTGTGCTGACCAGGTCATGATTCTGGATGAAACTTACAGCCACGGGTCATCAACAGCCTCAGGGTGTGGGATGGCACTGGCCACTACTGGGGGCTGGTCCCAGCTCCAGCCCTGCTTGGCTGTGACCTCGGGCAACACACTCAGCCTCCTCCCCCAAAATAAAGGGTCTGCCCTGAGGATGCCCAGGGCCCTCTCAGCCTCTGATGTTTTTGCGTATCTGCTTTCCCTTCCAGGTCCTCATTCCTACGACCCGATGCAACTCCCACAAGGAGAACATCCAGGGCCAGCTCAAGGTTCGCATGCCTGGTATCTACATGCTCATCTTTGACAACACCTTCTCAAGGTAGGGCCACCTCAGGCACTAGCTCCATGTCTCCAGGCCTCTCTGCCACCTCTTCTCAAGAGCAGAGGTGGACACTCAAAACCAATTATTTGTCGATGACTTATTATTCATCATTCTTTGATTGTTGACCCCTCTCCTGTGGTGTTGCAGTGTTTGTTAGGAGATTTTGTTGCACACAGGCTCATGCTTGCAGAGTCTCGCCATGTCACTGCTGAGGGGCAGAGGAGTGACACTCCTAAGTCACACAGCTAGGGCTGGAGCCGAATCTGAACCAGGCGGCCCAGCCAGTCTGAACTCTTAATAACCAAGGTGCCCTTTCCCTCTCTCTGATGTTGATTCCCACTGTCCTGCCACTGCCTTGCCCAAAGAAGGGGCTCAGGAAATACGGGGAAGGACTGAATGAATGAATGAGAAAGGGAGAAATGAAAGAAGGAAGGACAGAGCTTGAGATAAGCAGAGACTGCCTAAGACTGCACGGTGAAGGCCCTAGCTGGGTGGCGGGAGTGGCAGGTGCCATCTCTGGGAAGCACTCTGAGGACCAGCTAAGGTCCAGGAGTGAATAGTTTAGGGGATAGCGGAGAGGCTGGACAGGAGAATGGGGATAGAGGGTGATGAGTCCAGAGGGACAGCTGGGAGGGGAGCAGAGAGAGGACTGACATTAACTGAGCATCTGCCAAGCTCGTAGACAAGCGTGGTTAGGATTGCCGGGCACCTGCCCCTGTTTATGTCTTCTGCTTCAGCACAGACCCCTTAAGTGGAGCTGGCTCTTTAGAGAGACCTGCCTGAGCTGTTTCCAGCCACATCCTCTCTGAGCAGGACCCTGGGCTACGGGTCACACCCCCAGCATGGGTACTTGGCTCTCAGCAGAATAACCAGGGAAAACTGTGTCATCCCCTCACCACCTCCAGGCTTTGAACTACCAGGGCTTGTGGCCAAGAGTGCCCACCACAGGAGGGGATGGAAGATGAACTTCCCACCTTGCTGCCTCCTGCTCCTGCCTACACTCCCCAATAGAAATGAAAACACCCCTGGAGTTAGCAGGACCTCATGGCATAGGCCTAGCATGGCCAGAGAGCTCTCTTTGGAGCCACCCCCCGCCCCAAGAGTGGATATGAGCCCCAGCCCCTCCTGAACAGGATAGGGCAGTGGTTGGGGAACACCAGGCGCAAACTCTGCTCTTCCCCCAGCGGCCCTTAGTTGAGTCTCCATTTCCTCCTCTGCAGTGGCAGCCACACTGCGCATTGATGGAGACATGGAGGAGAGGTGCAATGAGGGCAGAACACCATCCCAAGGCCAAGCAGGCTCCCAGTTACACCTGGAGGTGGCCATGGTGCTGTGGCAAACTCTGACCTTGACCCACCGAGGTCATCTCAGGGGCCTAATTGAGATTTCCAAGCTATGGATGTCAGAACTGAGTTAGCTGCCAAGTCAGAAAAAAATCTATGCTGGCCTCCGCCATATGCCTCCTCCCATTGCCTGCTCTTTACACCCCAGTACACACACTGTGCAGTCCCTACCTCTAGCTGCTTCAGAGCAGCCAGGTGAGGGAGGTGACATTCACAGCCTGCGACCAAAAGAGCATTTCTGCACCCAAGCCTCAGGAGAGTCCACGGTGATGTCCTGAGACCCTCTGACCCTCACAGGGAGAGAACTCCACTAGACAGACAGGAAATGGGGCGCGGAGCTCCAGCACCCACACAACCAGGTCACTGCAGTGACCACAGAGGCCTCAGCAGCAGCTGGCACCCCTCAGACTTTCAGCTCTCAAGTAACGCCCTCCCTTTCCATTTCTGTTTCCTTAGGTTTGTCTCTAAAAAGGTATTTTATCACTTGACGGTTGATCGGCCCGTGATCTACGATGGAAGTGATTTCCTGTAGCTTCAGCACCTCAGTAGCTTCACTTCATCCACAGGAAACACTACTCTTCCTCACCTGTCACATAAAGCATTTTTTTAAAAAGTCAGCTGCTCCAAACTCATCAACTCTGCCCCTCTGGAAGAGAGGCCCCTGGGCTGCCCCTCAGAGGTGGCGTCTGGGGAGCACTTTGTGCTCAGCACGATGCACCAGTCACTGTTAGCCCCAGAGGCTTTGAAAGGCTCAGGCAGTGTTTCCGTTAAGTAGTAGATCTCTATCCAGCTGTTCTCATGCCCAAAGGGATGCTCTACCAAAGGCTTAAATACCCAGGAGACCATCAGCCTCTCCTGGAAGCACAGTTGGCTCCAGGCCTCCTGTGGAGGGTTTCACAGGCAAAGGTGATCCCAACTTCTGCTGATGGGGAGACTTTCTGCCCTGCGCCACTAGGGCCCTGCATCTTGGAGACCTGAGCTGGTTGCCCTGACCATGCCCTGTGAGTCCGCAGGCTATGAGGCCCTCAAGTACTCCTAGGAAAAGGAAACACATGCCATCATGCAAGCCAGGGTGCCAGGGGACCCTCCTGAGATCTGGACCAGCCTCCTCCAGTCACGGTCCTGTCCCTTAGTGCCCCAGTAAGCTGGGGGCTGCTCCAGAACTCAGCAGTGTTGAAAGGGCCTCTAAGCTGCACTCTCTTCCTGGCCCTTTTGTCTGGGTGACTCTGTCCTCAAGTAAAGCCCTTCACTCAGCCAGGCCTCTCCACAGCTCAAAACATTGCCCTAAGAATCAGAAGTAAGGATAATCCAAGAACAAAACCCACCATACTGAGGGTCTGCAGTGGCTGTGTGTTCACTACGTCTAACGTCCAAATGCCAGCCAGTGTGGATGCCGTGATCACAGAGCAGAATTGTGCACTGGCTTTAGGGCTGCTGCTCAGCTGATGGTCCACTTTTATTTATATAAATAAGAGCTTTGGCCAGGTGTGGTGGCTCATGCTTGTAATCCCAGCACTTTGGGAGGCCAAGGTGGGTGGATCACGAGGTCAGGAGTTCGAGACCGGCCTGACCAACATGGCAAAACCCCGTCTCTACTAAAATTACAAAAATTAGCCGGTGCGGTGATGGGTGCCTGTAATCCCAGCTACTCAGGAGGCTGAGGCAAGAGAATCACTTGAACCTGGGAGGTGGAGGTTGCAGTGAGCCTAGATCATGCCAATGCACTCCAGCTTGGGTGACAAGAACAAGACTCCATCTCAAAAACTAAATAAATAATAAATAAGAGCTTCTGCCCCACCTGCAGACATGTTTACTAATAATCATAGCCAGGGTTAGAACCACTTTCAAACATTGGGGCCTTCTTAACAAAAGTCTTTGGTAACTTAAGAACCAAAGTAACAAAGTAAGCAGAAGCATGATGGATCCCTGGCCCTACTCCCCACCTGACAGGTTCCCCTACAGCCTATTTGCCCACTTCCTGCTGCTCAGCTCACTCCTGACCTCCAGGAGACATCCCCCCTTACAGCAGAGGGATCCCTGTTCCCGCACAAGAATTAGTTAATCCTCCTGTTCTCTGTGGTCCTTTTCTTCCCCCATGACAGAGAGCTCACCTTGGACAGCTCTTCATTCCTTGTTCACAGAACCAGCTACCTGCAGTCAGGCCCCAGGTTCTTCCACAGGTAAACAGAGCATCTGACAAAAGGTCCCACTTTGGCCAGGGGTGAGGGAGAGAACACTGAACAGGCTATCTGAGAATCTGGGAGCTGGGCCCAGCAATTCCTCCAGCTAGCCTTGTGACCCAAGTCCAGTCACACACTTCCCAAAGTTTCTCTTTGTCATAACCCTGGTCTGGCTGGTTTTGAGGGCTTGAGAATGGGTCAGGGACTCCAGGCAAAGTCCAGCAGAGACCCCAAAACCACCACATACCAGCAGCCATAGTCTCACCACCAGCAAAGAGGACTCTTGTGGGGCCACAAGTAAGAGGTCATTTCTGGAATGGACTCAGACCTTTAAACAGGAGAGTTGGGCACTTCCAGTCAGTTTAAGCACGTCATGGGGAATGGAGAATAGAACCTTTCGAAGAGGTTGCCTAGAGAAGAGCTGGGCCTCTTGTATTTGGCTTCCTTGGAACAGCCTCTTCTGGCAGAAAGCTGTCAGGTGCTCAATCATCTTCCCCTGACCAAGGCTTTGACCATACTCAGTGTTGGAATAGAAGTGGCCAGGTCCCCAGTGACTCTTCTTGGCCTCACATTTGTTCTCATAGGCATGCCACATGGCCTGAGATGATTCAGAGTGAATTGTGCTAACTTTGAATCCATCCAGCCTCTTGCAAAGGATAATCAGAAGTCAGCTCGTTCACTGTAAGAAAGAAACTAACGAAAGAGAACCCAGAGCAATCTAGAATCTTTGAGTGCTTAGCTTTCTGAGAATACTGCAGAGACTCTGGCCAAGCTGATGACCTTCTGAAGTGTCACTGGCACCATATGCAACAAGAACCACCATTCATTGAGTAGCTAACAGGTTTGGGGCCCGGGACATTCCATCTGAGGTCCTCCGAATACCTGTCACTCATCACAGCAGAGGACCAGTTGCAGCTTACCCAGAACCACTCCTCCAGGAGAGCTGGGCCTCTTGTGCACACCACCTCCAGCACTGACTGCTGTTGTTCAAAAAAAGCCTTTGCTGCATTTGGAGGACTGCCCTGTGCCCCGAGGTGACTTCCTAACTATGTGGTTTCATTAGCGAATTTATTTTTTGTGCTGGGTGGACATTTGTATTTATTAGGTTGCTGTTCAAGCTCAAGTTTGCTGTGCTCTCTGCAGCTACAGAACATCTTGGCATATTTAAGAGTGGCTTTTATCAATAGCTTTATTCTGATTTTAATCAGGTTCCCAGCTTTACTAAGGATTAAGGACTGGGGTACTTTGTTAAAAAATGCAAATAACAATTGAAGAACCACTGCTGCAGGTGGTAGCCCTGGCTAGACTGAATTACACTAGAAATCGGCAAGAAGGAAGCATCCTTGGGATCCCAGATCACTCTTTAAAAAAAAAAAAAAAAAAAGGCAGCCCCTTGATGGCCCATCTCTCTGAATAACAGTCACGTCTTGGTGTCGATACCAGATGCCTTCTTCATCACTGCCACTGAAAACACCTTCAAGAACATGCCAACCTCTGTCAGACACCTTCATCCACAAACAAGGAAGCACGTTTGGCACAAAGCGTTGTCTCCCAGGTCCAAGTGGACTCTGCAAAGTGCTTCTGACTTCAACACACTGGACTCCAGGTGGACTGGACCAAGAGCAGGCAAAGATACTGGAACTGAGAAACTCCACAGGGTTTCGAAGATAGAAATGAAAAGCCAAATCATCTAACTCAAGAATAAGTGATGTTTTAGAAATTTAAAATGATCATCTAAGGTGGTGAAACTATTCCAGGCCCAGATGAAAGGAAATCTCCATTTGGGGATGAAGTCACAGAGCCTGTGTTTTATGATATGGTTGGATGTCCACTGATAAAATTTTAAAGGAGTTTCATTTTTTAAAGTGCACCTTGGTGATTCTACATGTGAGAATTCTTTAGGCCAAGCAACTGTCCATGGCTTAGAGGTGTTGGGAATTAAAGCAGAGAGAAGCCATGCTTAGAACCAAGGATGGTCATATACACAAAGACAGCCATTTGTGTTTACAAAACACTTACCGAGAAAGCACTTTGTAGGGGAACCTTGTAAGTTCTTCTCATTTTATTATATTTCTTCCAAGGAAACAGGAGAGACTGAATTAATAATTCTCTCTTTCCTCTTAAGCACTTTTTAAATAATAAAGTATATCTTGAAATTTTAGGAGGCATCTCTGATTTAAAAAAAAAAAAAAAAGACTGCTTGACGTATGTTATCCAGAGACACTCTGCCTCTGGTGGCTGCACAGCAACACCCAAGCCTTATTTGGAAGGCTTAACATTTGGAATTGCACTTTAATTGATTAATCCTCAATTCATGTGGCCTTACAGGATGGCGGGTCTGGGACCCCAATTCATTCTTATCTGCCAAAGAATTATCTAGAAGCACATCAAGTACCAGCACCCCACCTGCACAATGGGGGTGGAAAACTTTTGTATCCCCAAGCATATTATTTTATAGTGTCTGCCATGCCATGTGGAAATAATATATTTTTTAACCTCAGGATTTAAATAAACACTATGACATTTAGACATTTGTCTCTCATTTCTTTGGGACATAAACTGTATGATGAAGTTACCCAGAGCTGAGTAGGAGTTGAGCTGTGCTGCTGGGAGATAGAGCATCTTTTATGGTGGCTTTTCAGGAGGACTTGAGCCAGCAGATGTTCTGGGAAGTTTCCAGTTGGCCTGGCATCTGGATACTCCCAAGCCTACTGTGAGGCTTGTGTTTAGACCTGCCTGAGCCACCCTGTTCCTTAGTCCACGCTGCTGTACCGTGTGGGCTACTAGCCTCGACTCAAATGTCCAGCTCTCCCAGGGCACCCACAGAGTGTTTTGAGTGTAGAGCAGACCTCTCAATTTACCAGAACAATGGGGCTGTTGAGAAGCATCATGGATGACCTAAAACCACGATTAGTCATTATGAGGTACAAAGCTGGGCAAGACTGCCAGGCCAAGATGGCTGGCAGAGGAAGAAGTCAGCCCTCCCACCCCAGCACACCCTGCTCTGGCCAGGTCAGCAAAGAGCTTGGATAGAGGCCCGAGGGGTATGCCCTGGTCACTCCTGGATGTCGGACTGAGCTCAGGCTGAGCAGCTCACCCACACTCACTTCCCACTCCCACTCCAGGGATGACCAGGCCTCCGTCCCTGGAGTGCTCTGCACCCCAGAAGAACACCTCCCCACACCGCTGCTTCACTGCCCTTCCTCCTACAGTCCTCCCCTGCTGCCAGACCTTCATTTGGTCTCTTTTTAAATCTGTTATTCCATTGAAGAAGTCACATTTTCTGTAACTCTGGTTCTCTCCTAAGGGCAAGGGACACTGTCTCCTTCATCTTTATCTTCATCTCCCTCCTCCCGATCCTCCCCACCACAGCATCGAGCAACATGCCAGACAGGAAAGGACTCAAAAATGCTGAATTGACCTCACAGGTCAGTCCCAGTGCCCTGGGTCAGCCAAAAAGTCATCAGCATTCCCATTGGCAACCAATTCTGCCAGGAACAGAGGCTCCTGAAATACTCCAGTGGCAGAGAAGGGAAAGGGCAGGCCTGCAGGAGGAAATGTGGGCGATGACAGCTGGTCACTTAGTTCCACCCCCTGCACTCCCTCTTATGTCAGAGGTGCCCTTGGGCCCGGTGAGGTGGCTCATGCCTGTAATCCCAACACTGGGATTCCAAGGCGGGAGGATTGCTTGAACCCAGGGATTCGAGACCACCTGGGCAACATAGAGAGACCCTGTCTCTATATTATTTTTCTTTAATTAGCCAGGTGTGGTGGTGCATGTCTATAGTCCCAACTTGGTAGAGGCTGCAGTGAGCCAAGATCGTGCCACTCCACGGGTGACAAAGTGAGGGCCTGTCTCAAAAAAAAAGGTGCCTGCAAATCAAGTGTCTAGTAACCAAGTTGACGTAATGGCAGATAGTCCAGCTTCGCCAAATGACACAGCCAGAGTTTCTTTGTTAATACAACAGTCCTTCCTGAGGCTTGGTAGCCTCGGGCTGGGGACTAGAACAAGAAACAGATGAGACACACATAGATGTGTGTGCTGCCCATCTGGGGCTGGTATCTGGGGACCTCCATGTCAAAATCCTCCATTCCACCTCAGCCCACCCCACTAAACTGCAGAGCAACTCAAGGTGATCCAAGTCTTTGCTGGAGGATTTCCAAGCCCCACACTTGATTCCAGGTAATCCCAGCCCAGTTCAGTGTCCTCAGACTCTGTGGCACATAGAGGTGCCCCGCCCCTCCCTGCCACGTCTGCTGGGTGAGGGCTGAGGACGCAGAGACTCCCAGGGAACTGAGAAGGCTCCTTACAGCAAGGTCAGCCCTTTCAGTTTGAAGATGCGTGGGAAAAATCTCTTGCCACCCACACACATCTGAAGAGCAAACAGATGGTGAAAAACCTGTAGCCCAAGATGAGAAAACGGACTTTTTGAGACAGCAGTTGAAGCTGAAGCCTCAAAATCTGGGGGGAAAGCATAGTGATTATGAAAGACATTCAAAGTGGGTTAGGGGTGAGAAAAAGGTCAGCCTTTTACTTTTCCCACACCCGCTGGTTTCTGAAGAAGGATGGTAACCCGAGCAGAAGGGTGATGGCCGACCTCTGGGCTTTGATGTATGTCCCCTCCTCCTCCGCCCCATCCTACAAGCTCTGGGGAGGTCGGAGACTGGTGTGGTTTCCTCACGCCTTCCACCATGCAGGCACTGAGGTTGGCTCCAAGTTGACAGCCCCATCTGAATCCTGGAATGAATTAAGTTTTTTTAAGCTAAAAAGTGAACAAAACTTGACATGCATGAGTCCTTACCGAAAGGAAGTCCTCGTTTTTAGGACAGGCTTGGCTTCTGGCCTGTGAGTCCATAGAATCATCACAGAGAAGGTGATTTCAGGAGGCCTCCCGCTTTCTGCTCCCAAGGCAGACTGGCTGAGCCTCGGAGGAGAGAAGGAAGCCATTTCGGGGAGGCCAGAACATCCATCTTCCAGGTCAGTGGGGCAGGTGCTGTCTTCTCCCTGGCTTGAGACAGGAAAGCCGATGAGGGAGAAGGGAGGTAGGGGATAAAAGATAGGAGGGCAAAGAGGTGATGAGAAAAGAGGACTAATAGAAAGGGCCTCCCCAAAGCCTGCAGGGAGGGCTGGACCCAGGGCTGCTTAGCAGAAGCCATCTTTCTCATGGGAAGAAAGGGGCAGTGAGAAATGGCAGATTTTATGTAATATAAAATTTTATGTATATAAAATCCGATAGATTTTATGTAATGCATTAGTAAAGAGATGCATGTATTACTAGTTCATACATCTGCTTTAATATTTGGAGAACTGTATTTCAACATAATTGGTTTCCTTTGTAATTTATTTTATTGTTTGAATTTTAAAACGTTCTGAGAAAGGGGCTACAGGCTTCGTCAGTGTCAAAGGTGTGGATGAGGCTCCCCAACCAAAAAAAAATGTTAAGGATCTTTGGGTTGTGTCAGGTCCTCATGAAAAATGAGAATGATCAGCTTGTCGCATCACTGGTTTGTTAATAGTAACAACAGTAGCACTGTTTAATTTGTATAATTGTATAATTTGCTAGGTTCTTGATGTAAGTCAGCCTGCTTTTACAGATGAGGAACCAAGACCCAGGGAAGTTGGTAAGTCTGAACCATTTACAGAACTTGTTACTGCTACTGCGTTACGCTGAGACAGCTGTAGGAGTGTTTTTCTCTAAACCATTCTCATTTTACTTGAATATGGATTATCTGATGAGTTATAAAAAACTTTTCCATAAACCAGGATTTGCTATGGCAGCCTTTGACCTTCACACCTTTACTACGAATGACTGTTAATATAAAAGGCTCTATTAGTTACCAGTTGTCAGAATAACACTGCATTATTCTGTGTTATTTGAAGTTGGACAACCTCAAAACCATGGCTTAAATCACTGAGGATTTATTTTGCCCACAAATATGCAGGTTGACTGGGGGCTCTGGACCCTTGGTGGGCTCACTCCCTTGTCTGCCTGTGGTCAGCTATGCCTCGAGGCTGTGCTTGCTATGCCCATTGGCTAATCGTGGCTAGGCTGACTCCTGTGTCTGTTGTCAGTTGGTCAAATGAAGGCTGGCTAGTCTAGGATGGTCTTGGTCAGACAACTTGGCTGTACTCCACGTGGACTCCCTGGCCCCAAAAGGATAGCCTGGGCTTCTTCAGATGGCCGCTGAGCAGGTTTCCAAGAGAGTGAGCACAAGTGCCGGAGCTTCACAGAGCCCAGCCTCAGAACTGGAGCATCATTTAACAGTGTTCTGTTGGTCGAAGCAAGTCACAGGCCAGCCCAGATTCTAGGTGTGGGAAAAGGAACTCGTTCCTCTGGGTGGGAGGACTGCAAGATCACTTTATAAAGGGTTCAGAGACAGTGAGGGGTAGAAAATTAGGACCATTTTTGTAATCATTCTACCAAAGAGTCAGATAATCTTCCCTTCCTGCACATATTTCGACCTCAATTTTCATCTTCAGAAAAATACCCACCTTCTCCAGATACACTCATACAAGTACACAAAAGTACACACAATATTCTTCTTGGCCATGATGTCTGTGGTGGCAAAATCAGGAAAGAATTTGTTCAAAGTGAGTTGGGTTGAGGTAGTATATGACGGCACCCTGGGAGATTATGTGGTGAACACTAGTCACACCCATGCGGCATTTCCTGACGAAGACACTGGACACAGCAAATGGAGCTGGTGGCAGGAATAAGATGCTTTTACTTTTCTCTTTATACCTTTCTATGTTGTATGATGTATTTTTATTAGGTGTCAGTTTAACTTTTAAAATATGAAAACTAATTTCTAAAATACATTCACATCATCTTAAAGTCATCTCAAGTTCCCAGTAAACCACCAAATGCCCAGCTCCTTTATGCTGGGGTCATTACACAGTTGTTCATGTCTTTCTGCATTCACCAAAGGGGTGACCTCTTCACCAGCCAAGCTGGACGGCATACAGCCATGAGAGCGGAGGGCCTGGGAGGAAGCCACAATATGGCCAGGGTTCCTCTTCCCCTGCCGGGGGGCGAGCCCAGCTAGGGCCCCTGTCCTCCTGACTCAGGGCCTCTGGGAGAAGAGCTATATCCAGATATATGGTACAAATTGACCACTGGAACGACAGTGCTTGAACCCCAACTGGGGAGAAAGTACAACAGCCTCCAAGAGGTTGAGTTCTCGAATCAGAAAGACATGGATCCGACTCCTGGTGCCACTACCCACTTCCTCTGGCTTTGGACAAGTCACTTAGCTCTTCTGTGCCTCAAAAATGTGATAGCTGCTACCATTGAGAAACACGTCCACACCTTGTCCAATCCGTTCTGCTCTCTTGGCTCTTTTGATTCCTTCTGGGCATTAGCGAGTCATGTTGGAGGACTGAGTGATTGGGGTCATTGAAAGTTGAGTTAATTTACAGAGTAGCTGCCTTTGGTGATTTTAAAACGTGGCCCCAGAGTTATTTGACACCCTTCCCATAAGAGGTGGAGTCTACAGCCCTTTCCTTGACTCAGGGCTGGCCTCTGGCTGCTCTGACCAGTGGAATAGCAGAGGGCCACTCTGCGGCTTCTGGTGCCATGTCAGAAAAGGACCTGCAACTCCCCCCTGGTTTTCTTGCTTGGGGGAAGCCAGCTGCCATGTAGAGGGTCTGAGCACCGTGAGCCCTCCCTGCTGACACTGCCGTGTGTTGGGGCACTGCTCAGCAGCCAGCATTAACTACTGGCCCTGGGGCATGGCTCTCCAAGTCAAGCCTTCCAGTGGCCACAGCCCCAGCCAATATCTGACTGCAGCCACACGGGAGACCCCAAGCTAGATGCATCCTTCTGAGTCCCTTCCAAATTCCTGACCCACAAAATAATGAGTACAATAAAATGGTTATTGTTTTTATACCACTAAATTTTGTGGCAGCAGTTACAAGGACACATCTGAATTGAATTCAAGCAAGGTTCTTAGAATCACTTCTTTCATTTAATTGCAAATTAGCCGAAAAGAAAGCATCTAAAAAATTTTTTTTGTTTTATTGAATTACTCCTGATACTCTGTCGTAGCAAACCTGGTACAAGTTTCACCTACACGTCCTTTCCACATCCTCACTTCCCATTCATTTGCTCCTCAGCCAATCACAGTCTGCCTTGATGATGCCTGGGAAGCTGCTCCTAGCCCGGTCGCTGTGCCTCCACTCTCTCTTGACCTCAGCTCTTCCCATGCTCATGGCTACCATCTTCCGGATAGCGTCCCCAGACTTGCTCTCTGCTGATCCTCCCCTCCCAGAAGCAACACCACCAACCATCCAAACATGCAGATTCAAACTCCAAGTCATCCTTGATTCCTTCCTTTCTCTCAGTTCTAACCTTCACCATTGCTTCTATCCCCAGAGTAAGTCAAAAGCCATTCATCTCTCTACACCACAGCCACCACCTTCACTCTGACTCCACCACCGTCATCTTTTTCCGTAACCACAACAGCTCCTGACTGGCCTCCCTGCTTCCTTGCACTGCCCCTAACCCCCAGCCACCGCCCTTCTTCACCTGGGGACTTTAGAGATCGTTAAAACATGACTTGGACCATGGCACACCACTTAAAAATCTTCCTGAAGCGGAATAAAAAAGTTCTGCGCCTGAACAGCGCCCCTACCTTCCCCTCCCATCTAACTTCCCTCTCACTCATTAGCCTCCAATCACCAGTGGCTCTTTTTTTAGCCACTTAACTCTGCTTATCACTTTTCCACCTCAGAGACACCTGTGAGAACTGGTAGTGATGGTCTCACCCCGTCTCAGGCAACATCAGATTTCCTGTGGTCCTTAGAGACTTCCTGGTTTCCAAAAGTTGAACAAGAAACCGCAGAGCTCACTGTGGCCTTTGTCAGCCTCTGCAGGGCATTCTGAGCCATCTCGATGGTTACCGCACTGAGAAAGTGCCACCCATGACCTGAGCCTCTCCAAGCTTGCTGCCCTGTCCCCAGTGGGCTCCCTCGGTTCCTTCGGTGAGTGGTGGCCTAACCACACAGAGGAAGAGTCCATCTAGTCTCCATTTCCAATTTTAATTTTTTAAAATTGTCATTTGGAGCTTTATAAAAGGATAAGAGCATGAGTTTTTAGGGGAATTGCATGATGTCTTGGATTTACTTTAAAATACTACAGGAAACTTTTTAAAGGAAGGAGGGAAGGAAGGAAAAAGAAGGAAAGGAGTGGATGAAACAAAGAAGAGGAAAGGAAAGAAAAGTGGGAAGTGTAGCTGAAACCAAAACTGGGCAGAACGTTAATCATGATTGACGCTGAGTAAGGGTCTATGGATGTTCTTATACAGCGGTCCCCAACCTTTTTGGCACCAGGGACCAGTTTCATGGAAGACAGTTTTTTCACGGACCTGCAGCATTGGTGCGGAGGGGATTTTGTGATGATTCAGGCATGTTACATCTATTGTGCACTTTACTTCTATTATTAGTGCATTGTAATGTATAATGAAATAATTAAACAACTCACCATAATGTAGAATCAGTGGAAGCCCTGAGCTTGTTTTCCTGCAACTAGGTGGTCCCACGGGAGGTGATGGGAGACAGTGACAGATCATCAAGCATTAGACTCTCATAAGGAGTGCACAGCCTATATCCCTTAGATCATCAAGCATTAGACTCTCATAAGAAGTGCACAGCCTAGATCCCTTGTGTGTGCTGATCACAGTAGAGTTTGTGAGAATCTAATGCCACCACTGATCTGACAGGCGGTGGAGCTCAGGCGGTAATGTGAGTGATGAGAAGCAGCTGTAAATATAGATGAGGCTTCACTCACCTGGCTGCCACTCACCTCCTCCTGTGCGGCCAGGTTCCTAACAGGCCACAGAGCAGTCACGGTCTGTGGCTCCAGGGGTTGGGACCCCTGCATTAATACTATTCCCTCTGCTTTTGTGTATGTTTTAAAATTTCTGTAATTAAAACATTTACAAAAGAAAAGCACACAAGTGGAGAAGGCCTTGTTTGTTGCATGCATGCACACTTCACCGAAGAGCTTGACCGTGATGTCCCATAGGCATGAGTGCTGCAGGGCCTTGGCACATGGCGCCCTCCTCCCTTTTCTTCCCTGCTTCCCGTAGGTAATTCCTGACCATTCTTCAGCTCTCAGCTCAAATGCCACCTCCTCAGGGAAGCCCTCCCTGCCTCTCCTTTCCAGAGCAGATCAGAGTCCCCTCTGTCACACTCTCTAGCATCCTGTACCGATAACCATCAGCTTGTTCCTGTGATGGTGTGATTCGGGTCTGCGTTGTGAGCTTCATGAGCACTGAGCCTGTGACTGCTATTGCTCACTGTGACCTTGCCCAGTGCCTGGCATATACTGAATGCCCAATAAATGTTGAGTGAGGCTAATTACAGCAACAGTTGAAATGCTGGGCCTACTTGTGGCCTCTCCAGCATGATGGTCTCAGGGTGGGCAGACTTCTGACATGGCAGCTTAGGGCTCCCAGAGCAAGCCTCCCATGGCACAGGATGTGGAAGCTGCCAGCCTCTTCTGAGTCTGCAGCCAGAAACTGACACAGCATCCCTTGCACCAAATTCCTCTGATTAAACAAACCCAGAATCCACTCAGATTCAAGGAGAGGGGACATCCACCCCATGTTTTGATGGGAGGAGCATGAAAGAAACTGTGGCCATCCTTAATCCACCCAGCTGACTCACTGTCCGCAGCTGTTCAGAGTTCAGTCCCTGTCTTTCTTGCCTAACTCTCCAAGTCTCCAAACATTTTCCATTGCTGTAGCTCTTTCTGGCCTCAATGAGTGTCATAACATCATGCAAATGCTAGAGATGCAGCTCTCATGCTGGGCACTGTAGCTGTTGCTGGGCAGACACACGTGAGCAAGAACACGCACAGTCCATGGCTGCATGTGGCTGAGGGTCCAAATGTAGGAGTAGGAGCCTCAATCAGCAGAAAGAAGAATACTAGCAAATTACAAACGAGATGAGCGCTGTGAAGGGAAGGGACAAGCAGCGTGCCACACAGGATGATAATGGGGCTCTCATTGGCACTCTAGGACTTTGCCACATCATCTTGCCGTGCCCACGCAGCAAGCCATGTTAGCAGTTGCCATAGTGCCTTTTAATATGCGAGGGGACTCTTCAGCCAGCTCTTGACTGAGGGTTGTTTATACTGTTCAGAAATTTCCAGATGACATAATTCAGATGTGCTTGAAATGTGTATTTGAGGTCTAGAAAGTGGAGAGTCTGCGGAAAGACGCTGTGGCAGATGCAGAAAGAGACAGGTTCCCTGGAGCACTTACCTGGCTGCAGAGCCTGGCCTGAGTGAGGGCCGCTGGTGGAGCGGGCACAATGTTTGCCCAGGTGGTCAGGGGCGGGGCCATCATCAGGCCAGGGAATCCAGGTAGCAGCTACAGCTTTTTAAGAAAGCCTGGAGGGTGACCCCCAGAAGGAAGTGCCAGTCCCTGGGCAGGGGAGGAGGCTTGGGGGAGCTCCTCAGATCTGAGCCTGGGGTCTGGCGAAAGCACCAGCCCAGGCAGATCTGGGTCTGGGGCCTAAGCCTGGCCACCTGGACCTAGAGAGGAAAAGCCAGGGCAGAAGGCAGCCCTGCAGACCACCAGCATGGGCAGGGTGGACAGGGCCTACCTGAGAGGCCAGCATGCTGCTTCAGATCATCTGAGCGGCTGCAGAGGACATCTGGGGCCATGTGGGGACAACAGTGAGTAATGCCTGGATTCCACACCACGGAATTTGACCTAAAGCCATATCTTATACTGGGCCCAGAAAAGTTGTTCATGGGTCTTGCCTCTGAGAGAGAGGAACCAGGGAAGGGAGAGGAAGGGGAATGAGGCAGGGAGAGGAGGAAAGCCGGCAGCCGGAATTCTACGGTTCAGATGCATGCCTAGGCCTGGGTGTTGGGTCCTCGGGCCTGTGCACGCACATCTCTGGTGAAATCTGTGGCTTCTTCATGAAGGAATTAAGCTTCCAGAGCCATATCTGTCTGGGGAGGAGCCTGGGAGAGGTAGCAGCTAGGAACCTTCTCGATTCTGTGAAGATGACACCATCGTCCTTTGCCAGCACACCCTCATGGTGCCCTTTTGAAGAACGGGGTCAGCAGGGCCTTGGCTGTAGCTTGTTACCATTTAGCGTTTGCATGACATGGTCAGTGAGAGGGGTGCTGGCCAAGCCCGTGCCTATCCGTCTTCTCGGCCCCTGGTCCTCAGCACAAAGTCTGGCTTGGCAAATGCTGGTCAACCCTCCGAAGCAAGGGCTAGTTTGTCTGACTATGTCAGGCAAAGCCAATTACTAACTGCACAGGCTTGGGTAAGTGATTTAGTATCTCTAAAGCTCAGCTCCTTCCTCTGTAAATCAGGGCTAGAATAATGCCGAAAGTTCTTAGAGAGAGCGTGCCTGTCTCAGACACCATGGGGCCACTGGCATGCAGCTGGTGCTCAAGCATATCTGCTGAATGGTTAGGTTATAATGAGACAGGACCCATGCTCTCAGCCTTCTCAGAGGAGTTCTGTGACGCGCCCAGCCACGCTCCGGATCTCCTACATACCTGGTGTTCTTAACCATCCAGCCTTAGGTGGGCTCTTGGAATTGGCAGACCCTGGTGAGATGATTGTTGCAGGATGACTTCTCTAGAAGGAGGTGCTGAGATGGAGTTTGGGGTGCTTATTAGGAATTGACGCCTGTGGAGGGATGTGAGAAGAAGCATGACTGGGCAGAGAGAGAACTCAAACTGCCATGAAGGCTCCACAAAGCCCTGGCTTTGGAGAGTCCACCAGCATTTGCCAAGCCAGACTTTCTACTGAGGGCCAGGGGCTAAAAAGACTGAAAGGCACGAGGTTGGCCAGCACCCCTCTCATTGCATGACCACGTCATGCAAATGCTGAATGGTGACGTGTGACAGCCAAGGCCCTGCTGACTTCCCTTTTCAAAGTGCACCATGAGGGTGCCCTGGAGTAGATTCTGTGCATCAGAGTGCCACTATTGGGCCGAGATAATGCCATTCTCTGCCTCACAGCACTGGAGGCAGGTGGCCTCGGGAAGGCCTGGCTTGGGTAGGGCGGCTCTGCAGAGGAGGCAGGCCCTGAAGAACTGGCAACCAGAGGGCCTGTGCCAACCACACTCCCTACAAGTTCTTTCTTGAGGCATCTCCGTATGACCATAGAGATCTTTGGCTTAGCTTGTGGTGCCAAAATTGAGTGTATAGAGTAAATATGTGGAGAGGACCTCATAAGGAATCACTTGTTGGAGAGACACATGTGCCTGTCATTTTTAGGCTTTGATAACATAAAAGTCAAAGAAAAACATTAAATGGGTCATTAGCTGTCTGGGTTGTCTGTTCAATCATGTAGGAATGATAGAGAACCAGCTCATTGTCCCAGGAGCATGCTGGATAGGGACCTCGGCTGTAAGGGAGGGGCACGTGAGATGGGGAGAGAGAGACTGTACTGCAGAGGCACTACGGTGTGTCTTGGCCGGGAGGAGAATTCTAAGGCTGTGGTACTTACCATCCACACACAGTGACTAAACAATCAGTGGCCACACGTTGAATGGAGAAAAAGATTTCTTTTGAGTATCTAAAACATGTGAGATGCAGGTACTAGAGCCCATGATTACTTCTCTGTTTTCAAAGTCATGGGGAGCCCCTTGACTGGACCTCACGCTGAGACAAGCTGACTATAGAAGAACCCTCCAGTGAAGGCGAGTGGCCAGCTTCAGTGAGGGACAGAGATCTGTGGGCACTGGAGCAGGCTGCTGCCGGGGGATGATTTCAGCTGTGCTTTGTTCTGGACCCCACAGGAAGCTCCAGTTCTTACGAGGCCAACTTAGAATTAGAAAACCAAGCAAACCCACTCAAAGATTGCAAGCACAAAAGAACTATCTGGAAGTGTGAGACAGCTTTGCATTACCGAAGCAGAGAGACTGTGGCGGTGTCCAAGTGTGTCAGCTCGTGAATGCTTCATGGCAGCCTTGGCTTTGTATTCAGGTCGACACCATCATAGAAACCAAGATACCACCCATAATGACCACATTGGCATGGCAACGGCCTGGGGGAAGGTCCACAAGACCAAAATGGAAGGAGGTCAGTGTGGGCTGCTTCCTTTCTTGCTCAGGAGTCTCTGTAACAACTACAACAGGCAAATGAAAGAAGTTGTAGCCACTCAGCTCTCTCAGGAGCTGTG